AAGGAAAGGGAAGATTAGAATTACGACTTCATGCTCTATCAGGTGGTAAACTGATGGGTCAAAGACCTGTAGGGTGACGGGTGCAAGGATGTTTGAACCAAGAACAAATTTTTTCAAACTTATGGGAGTGTCTCACGTCGAGGTACACGCCACAAAAATGGGGGGGAGGTTCAATCTGAAAAAGCATTATCTGGGACAGGAGATAATGATGATAGCCGAGAGCGTTGAATTCGTTTTCTGTTTCCTTGCGTCAGTATGTACCTGTCTTATCGGGGCACTGCAGACTTAGAGGACACCTCAGTAAGGTGGATCTGGAAGATGGAAACACTTGCAAATTCTATCGGTAGGATAAAGAGACAACAGCATATCTTCTTTGACAGTGTAATGTTCTCGCTCGCAGGAGAAAGAAAATTCAAAGGGTTTTTCTCTCCCGGTGGCAGGGTTGCAGTATGCTCGAGTGGATCAGGATCGTGGGTTTCGAGCTGGTGATGTCACAAGCCTCTAAGGGCTTGTTCCGCACTTAGAGGGGACACTGCTTCCCCGGTTGCATAAATCTACAATCTCTAAAGCTCTTAAAATTTAGAAAAAAAATTTATTATTATTAATAAAAGGATTATGGAATTCTTTAGAAAAACTATAGTCATTTTTTTAGTCTAGTTATATGAAAGAATTAAAAAAGTTTCTTAATTTAAATAAAATTAAAATGTTAATTTTATTTAAATTAAGAAACTTCTAAGAATTTATTCATTACAATCGACTGTTTAACGTAATAATAAAAATTGTTATTGATTAATGAGTGCCTTCGAATTGTGAACGCATTAAAATCTTGTATATGTTTTTGATCTGGCAGTTGGCTTATAGGATGAGTAGTACACATGATGATCCTATAAGTTTAATTTTTTTTTTATATTTTACCTTTTACCTCTATAATACATATGTGAGTACCTATATATGAACTTATTGTATTAATGAAAGCATTCTTGGATATGCCCTTTAATTGCAAAATATATTTAAATGGCAGAGCTTCCAGGCAAATTTTATTAATTAAAATTTAATTATAAGTATATATAAAATTATACATACATGTGAATATTATACTTATAATTGTATGTATGTATGTGTATATATACGCAAATATCAGTTAATCCTACGATATTTTTGATTTATTCATTCTCAAAGTTTAATTTATCCTTCGAAAAATTTTCTTTTCCTTCAATTATATATTTTTTTTATTTTTTTTTTGTTGTCGTTTTAATTTCTTGAAAATAATTTTTTAATCGTACGCATGTACAAAGAATTATTCTTTGTTAATGTGGGGAGTTTATAATTTAGTACGCAATCAACAATAACAAAGAAAAAGAAAAAAAACAAATAAACAAAAACAAAATACAGAGTTTATTTTTTTTTTACCTAAATAGCAACAAAATATTTTTTGTACATAATTAAAATCATATGTACAAGGCGATGTATACAATTTTACATATACGTGTACATACACATATGTATATTTGAAAAATAAATACGTATGGATTTTGATACAAGTATGAAAAAAATTGATAAAATTTTTAGGCAAAATGCGAGGTAAGATATGCTTAAAGATTTTATAATATTCGAAAATGTGCATAGAATCGTACACATTCATATAAATATATATGTACATACAACTTTACTTCAATAAATTTGTATACATATATACGTTTGTATTTTGTAGGTAAACTTATTTTCTTATTTTTTCAATTTTTTTCTCTTTTTTTTTTGCTATTTTTATTTTGATCCTGGAGAAACCAAAAATAAGAAATTATTTTTGCTTTTATTTTTTCTTTCTTTTGTTCATTTTTGGTTTTCTTCATTCGCATCCTCCTCAATCGAACCAAAAATTTCCTTTTTTTCTTTACTTTGAATGAGCTCCTTATTATTATATATTTATATATATACATTTGCACACATACAGAAGGATATGAGAAACTCATACACACAAATAATATTATAAATAGATCATTTATTTTATAAGGCAATACGAAATTTATGTACACTACTATGTACGGAGTACAAAAAATAATAAAAAAAAATTCCTGCAAATTCATCATTTTTCTTTTCTGTTTTATTCTGGTTTGTTTTTTCTTATACAACCATATAATAGTGATGAGATATTTTCAAGGACTTCTGATGGCACACTTGCTTTGAATTAGAATTTATTTCTTTCTTATTTATTTATTTTTTTTTTGTTTTTGATAATTATATTAAAGTAAAGCAGATTTCCAGAAAAAAAAAAAACAAAAAAATAAGAAAATGAGGTTTAAATGCGATTTTCGCGTTTTTTTATCAAAACGAAGAAGATTACTTTAATCGATTATTTTGGGAGTTAACCAACAAAAAAACAAAAACAACCGAAAAAAAAACAAATATTTTCTTAAGAAACAGCATAGCTCTAAAGTTTAAGTAATGGAATATTAGCTATAACAATAAATTTTTTTTATATTTACCAAAAAAAAATTATTCCTTAATAAATTCAAATTTGTCAGTCATCAAATTATCAATGCAATTAAATAAATTATAAATTTTCTTTTGCCTATAGGATGGCAAAATAAATTACATAATTATAGGCGCAAGAAGTACAATTGTAACATTATCGTTAGGTTCAGTTTTATAGTTAAAGTGTATATAGATATTTTGAATTAAGTCGCCCATATATTCTTGTTCCTTGAATAATAACAAAAACAAATTATGTTTCTTATAAGATTTGCCCCAAATATATTGTGCTCGAGTTCAAATTGTTTAAATTTGTCTGAATAGTTTGTGCCTTTCAACGAAATCCTTTCTCAAACGTAATAGTATCAACTTAAAGGAGGTGCAAAGTAGATACTTTAATTTTTGAGATTCTCCCTGGTTCTATAGATTTTTTTTTATTATACTGTTGATAATAGACTGTATTCATTGTGGCATACAAGTATGTTAAATTATTCCTTCCAGTTTATTTATTGTACACACTGGGTTCGTTTTGTGGGCTATGTGGCGCAAGAAAATGGTGGCTTGCCATTCAAATAATACAGCTTGCGACGAAAGGTACTAACTACTTTACCATCATTTAGCTATTATGCTTTGATGTATGTAAACAAAATTATTTTTTCTTCCATTCAATAATTGATTCTACCTTTCTCATTCCATAATTTTTAAAAAATCAATTTTTGAATAACTCCGAAGCCTTTGCTAAAATTTTATTCTATTTTTTAACCGAATTGGCAATAAGTGTCCTGCTTTGATCGGAAGTGTTATAAAAAGTTTTTTTATTAATTGCTTTTCAACTTCTTACTCTTTTCTTAGAGTTTTTCATTAAACTATTTATCGGTGATACCAATAAATTATTTTTATTGATAATTTTTCATTACCACTCTTAAAACAAAAAAATTATTTATTACCACTCATTATTGCAATAGATAAACAGCGATAATGAAGAGTGACATCTACATTTATTTTTGCACGAATTGGGATCCCACTGGTTTATTTTTGTTTTTTTTTTCTTTTTTCTTAATAGATGCCACTACTGTTTTTCCTTATTTGAATCACATTAAAGTCTGTTTGAATAAATTGATTTTGAAAGAAAATTTGAATTCTCTTTCACATTTTAAGAACATTTTTGTATATTGAAAAATGAAATGTAATTCAAAATTTTAAAATTATTTTTCTCAGGGAAATCTAATTCAAAAATCTTTTTTGGAACATGAAATTTAAGAATTAAATAAATGAAGTTGATATTTTCAATTATGTAGAAATAAAAATATTATGTATGTGTGAATGTATGTGGCATTTTTAATTCCCTGATATAAAATTCTGATTCTCTATTATGTATTATACATATGTACATATACATAAATAATGAGAATATAAAATATTTATTATAATGTGTTATACATACATAAGTATAGGTATACAAATTTATTTATAATGTTTGTTTGTATTTATATTAAATATAAACACTGAAATATACTATGTGTACATATAAATGTTTCAATATTTATCTATACGTGTATAAATTTGTAGTATGCATATACATAATATATTTTTTTACGTATGTGTATAAACAATATTTGAAAAACTATGAAGAAATCACAATTTTTATTCAAAATCAAAAAAAGGTGTTTGCACAAATTTTAAATTTAGAAATGAATACTTGTGCTTATAAGAAAGTACCGTTAAAGTTATAATGTATGAAATTTTTTTTATACATTTATGTATGTACATTCAAATGTGTATTTCTTATATAAATGTGGTGTGAGGGCACGAGCCAGTAGTTAAATACCTAAGAGACTAAAAATTATCCTTGCTCCTGTTGATTTATTTATTTTGTTTTGTTTTTGTTATTCTTATTTTTGTTTCACTTGAAACTTATATATTTGTTGTTTATTACAAATATATACGCATATATGTGTTAAAGTAATCTATAATTTGTACATGTCTGCATATCTATTTCTGAACTTAAAATGAAGATGGAGTTAAATTTTTTAGGAAAAGGAAAATTTGAAAAGTCCTCTGTTATATAAAAAAAATAACTTGAATATCAATTAAAAAAAGTATAGTCCGTCGAGAAACAATATTTTTGTAAATTTAAAAGTAATGACCATAAGATCAAAGTGTTTGACTAGTAAGGGAGTACATGCGACTAACAAATGTTTTATTTGAATTTTATCTTTCTTATTATTTACTTGAGTCGTTGATATTACTTGTGAAACACCTGTTGATTTTTTTAATGTAGCACAGATTTTGCTTATATATACTCGTAAACAAACAAGGAAATATACAAAAATAATTAATGTTAATTTTTAGTAGTTATTTTGTTTTAATTTACAAAGTTTTATAATTGTAACTTATTAAATTTTTCAACTTAGCAAAAACTCTGTATTTAATGCTGAAATACTTTTTTGAACCTATTTGAAAGTCAAAATTTCACTTTTAAGCAATAATTTTGTGTTTAATATTAAAGAAACTCTATTATGTATTTGTAGCAATGGACGGGAGGCCAGAAATAGAGCAGAAAAACAGCGTCGTGATAAATTGAATGGTTCAATTGCTGATTTAGCAACAATGGTGCCACATGTCGCTGAATCACCGAGACGTGTAGATAAAACAGCAGTACTTCGTTATTCAGCTCATGGTTTAAGGTTGCGTTATGGTAAGTTTTCAAAATATTCTGGCACCCCAATATGGCAACACAATATTGTAATGAGAAAAAGTAGAACGGAAATAAGAAAAAATATTAGTTATTAAATAAATTGTTGAATTGTGTATTACCGCGCTGAATTTTGTAAAACTTAAGTGCTTATTATTGAATTGTATAGTAATACAATTTTAATCACCAATTAAGCTTATAACTGCTAATTGCTGAATTTTGGAGTGAGCACTAAAACTTCATTACTCTTGAATTGCTTCATTACTCTTGTCAACTAATTTTTTACAATTTATAAATGAAAACTCTTCTACATCAGAACTAATCATTTTTAATAATTACTTTGTGTAAATGCACTTTGTGTAACACTTAAATGTTTACACAAAAAAAAAAAACAAAAAATGATTAAGATGAAATTCATTACCTTTCAAATTTTATGCAAATTTTATGCTATTGCAATTAGGGTATTTGAGAAAAACTTTAAATTTTAATAACTTAAATTACAAATTTCTTAAATTCTTGTTAATAATTATTTGCTTTAATTATTGAAAGTCATTTGATTATAAAATTTCGTTTGATTTTCGGCAGTTTTTGGAAAAATCTTGGAATCAAAAAGTGATGAAGAATCTGGAACTGGTTTACTATTAACAGATTCTATAACAAAATTATTAGATGGATTTTTGTTAACAGTTACATGTAGGGGCCAGATTGTATTAATAACACCCTCTGTTGAACAGCATCTAGGGCATTGTCAAGTAAGTATTTTTAATCATTTTTGAAATTATAGCGAATTTTAATTTAACTAATAAAAATATATTTCGTAATAGATCTTTATTAAAATTTCTAATTTTATTTAAAAAAAATATTCAAATGAACTAAAAATATCTTAAAAATTATTCTTAATAAAAATAATATTAAATCTTTGAGCTTTAAATAACTTTAAATATCTATATAAAACATATATATAAATAAAAATATATATATGTATATATATATATATATATATATATATATATATATATATATATATATATGTAAATATATGTTTTTTGTATTACCATATTATAATTCATTGAGAATCATATATAAGTATTTTCTATATCCCACAGAGTAAAATTACGAAAGGACGACGACGAAAAACGAAAGAACTAATTTCTAATTTTGCTATTATTTAAATTAATAATTTGATTACCCATTTTATTTAAAAAAAAAAAAACAAAAATGAGAACTGACTGTCTTTTTTTATTTATTTTCATTCCAAAAATTTTCTAAAAATATTTCCAGTAACAATCGTTATAGACCATGCTATACACGTATTGCATATATAAAAAAAATAATCTGTATATTTGTACTTCATATTTAAATAATAAATTGGAAATGTAACAAGAAACCATGTCTCCATTCTACTGCCCACTTAAATTTAAAATTAGCTAATATAAATATATAAGGATAAAATATGTAAAGTTTTACATAAATTTATAAAGAATTTAAAAGAAACACTTAAGTATACTAGAATATTCGTGATTTTTACTGCAAATTTCAATGCCTCTATTTTTGTTGTACAATATGTTAAGGGTTTTCTTTTTTCTGGCAAACACGAGAACTTTACTTGAACGGCTTGATTGAATGTCGGCTAACAAACTCAAAACGATTTTGTAAAGTTTAACCCCTGGATCACCAAAGGTATATTATCAAGTCCGACAACGGCATATAATGCTATACGGTGGCAGAAGACGCCGATAATGAAAAGAAAGACTACATCTACAACAAACTCACAGCAACACTGACCGCGAAAATGAGAAGCGACAATAGTGGTGATTAGTAACATAATTTATGCGTCGAGCGAAGAAATACATAAGAGTAACCCAATCAAAAGAACTTCTGAAGATTCCCTAAACAACAGTAAAATAGCCATAAGAAAACTCAACCATAGTTTCATTAAGAATATTCTATTAATTAAGAAAGAATCAATAAAATTAGAGTTCTAATAAGAACTATAGTTCAATAATAGAATAATAGAACGGTCAAGTGGAAACACCATGTTCCCAAGAGGAGTATCTGGTAATAAACATTGCATTTGTAGAATTTGAAAATTGCCCTTGATTTAAAAACTGTATTTTGTAACCTCTTGCAAACTTACATTTCCATGACTTTGAATCATTATAATGCTAACTGTAGAGGAACTCTTGTTTGAGAGAACAGTCATTGAAAACACTAATAAAAAAACGGAAGAAAAGATAGTCTTAAAAGTAATGTGCATAATTTTTTTTTAATTTTTTTTCGAATTTTGCTAAAAAAATGTAAAATATTGATGTTAAAAGTAAAATTACTAAATTAAAAGTGTTGGAGCATAAAAGTATTCATAAAATTATTGAAATTTATTTTCCATCTTACAATGAATCCAATGAGAAAATATGAATTATTTTGTATTTTTGTAAATAAATTGTCTGCAATTTATATTTCTACGCGTGTTTTTCAATTCGGTACGTGACAATTGAATGCAAATAAATAGAACAAGAGAACAGAAAAAAGCAAAACTCTTGCAATTTAATTTTTATTTCTTTGTTTTTTCTTTGTAGTTTAAATAAAATTTCGTGATTTCGTGTCACAAAAGTGCATCCAACCATAAAACGTATACTTTTTCTATAAAATTTTTTATATTAGAAAATTATTTTCTCTCTTTCACTTTTCGTTCCTTGTAATATTTTTCCTGATCACTTGCACTCAATGAAAGTACATTAAAGGAACTTATAAGTCATAAAAATCTGCTCCTAATTTTTCTTTTAAAATTTTAAAATTTCAAAACGTTTATCAAGAAATTTAGAATTAAGTAAAATATTGAAAATTTGTTTATACAAACTATTTAAATTTTTTTTTTAAAAAGTCTTGTCTATATGCTTAATGTAATGCAAACAATTGGAGTGAGAATTTACCCACAATTATCCTAGGAACAAGAATAACAATCAAAGAAGACCTAAAGAGTTGTCATGTGGAAATATTATATGATCAGATGTTAATGGCGAAGATAACTTTAATGATAATTTTATTCACAAACTTAGATAACTTATGTCTTATTATAGGCCATTTCAAACCTGGATTCCTAATCAAAGAATAGTCAAATACATGCCAGAACGTTTTTGTAAGAGTTGAATGCATAAAAATTAAACTATGTCCGCCTTATGAGTGCCTTTATTTTGTAATTAGAAAATTTAGAAAATATTTAATAAATAACAGAACAGAGACACCATTTTGAACAGTTGTTGTACATTTTTCTAAGTCATTGAAGAAAAAAATTTGGTATAAAATAAGAATTGCAGTGCTCTTTTTGCATAAGATAGCTACCATGTTACATCACTTAGAAAATCAACGTTTTTTAAAAACGAAAAGTTGAAATTTCTAATTTTTCGAATTTTAAAGTTATGTGATTCTGAAATGTGAACAGATTATAACAAATGTAAATATTCATAAAATTTCAAAAAGTTAAAAAAATCAGACGAAATTGATTCTGTATTCACCCCCCTGTATTGCCCCTGTAGCTCCGAACCTGTTGAGCTGTAAACATTCCCTCCATACAAAAGTTTTGTCTACTCTTGAGCGCCTATACAATTGTATATAGCAGTACACTTTGCTACGAGATGCCCTATATAAAAGACAACCACTTATAAGTGAATAATTTGACAAAAGTTACCTAAATCACAACGTCAAACTGCCGTCTTATCTATTTACAACAAAAATAAAAATGGGGCGTTGTGCAAAAATTTTATTCTTGAAGGTCTTTTCAAGATTCCTCTTTAATATCATAGAAGAATATCATCTGCTTGTTTTAGTTTCTCATTTTTTTGATAGAAATGTTAAATGTCATTGAATATTTTAGGTTATTAATTCTTTTCCAAATTTCTTATTGGTTTTCAAATACCATCTACTTCGTTTGAACTAATAATTATGTATGTCATTCTTGTCAATTTCACCTTACGCACTCTTATACTTTTATTATATTCATTTTCAACTAAAATAAGAGAATTAAAAAAACATACGGATTTTGTTTGATCAATTGTACTAGAAATCTGTTTATAGCGCAGTTGATCAAATAAAATTCTCATAGTTGCTCATTCTATTTTAGTTAAGTTTTTTTCAAGTTTATTTTAAACGGTTGTATGTCTATTAATTTACGTAAGCGTTTAACTTATTTTTATAGTTTAAATTTGTTTCAATTAATTGATATACATGGTTTAAGTCAAGTTCGTAAAAGATTTTGTTCCGTTATAACTATTACAGTAGATTTGCAGTTATACTGTTACTCTGTTATATAAAAAAAAAAATCATTTTCTTATTTGAGCATGTTACAAATTTTCTCACAAAAATTAAAAAAATATTCAATCAAAAGCTATATTATCTGTTATATTCATTGAAAATTATTCTAAATAGATTCTGAAAATTACATATAACAGCGCTATATTACTAAAATAAAAACAATTTTGTTTAATGAACTCCTTTCGAAACTTATTTGTTCTCATAATTGAGAGTCTACTGTTCATTCTTCAATTACAATTTACAATATTGAAATTTTTTATTTGAGATTTAGTATTTAAAGGTAAAAGATTTAGTAAAATACCAAATTTAGAAGCCGAATATTTTATAATTAAATTTTCTTAGTTTCAAAAAATTAACAAACATACCATGTTATCCAGTTATAAATGAATACATACGTACATACATAATTATAGAACAAACACAAATAAACATCATGTTTAACACACAAAAAATAACTGTCATTTAGAATTGTAAGAAAAAATAATAATGAAATGAATTATTTCGCTATATATAATTCACATTATATATAGCATGAAGTAACTGTGAACGTAAACAACTTTCTAAATTTAACTATTATTGAATAGAAATTATTTAGAATCGAAATTTAATTAAAAAATAATTATTTGATTTTTATTTACGTTAGAGGTTGTGAAATATTAAATGTATGGAATACAAACGAAAGGTATGTTCTATACTTTTCTAACATTTAAATATAACCTATATAAGTAAACAAACAGGGTGTTTATTCATATCAAATATATTAACGTAGGCTAAAATTTTTATTCTATTTGGCAATCCTCTCACATTATGCATGGAATTTTACTTAAATTATATTATAAATAGTATTTGTACTATTTATCTAAAATTAAGAAATTTTTGGGGAATATGAACCTACAGCTTAAGATGTTTTACATTGTTCACAAAAGTAAGAGATCTTTGTGAAAGAAGTCAATATCATAATAATTAATGTCTTGTTTTTTGAATTTATGAGAATTTTAATAATTCTTTGTGCAGTGTATTTAATAGGTTCTTGTAATAGATTTACTGTACCACGTTTTACCAATATGCAATATGGTTGGTCATGCAATATAGTTCTAATTTTTACTTCTAAATATGTAAACTTTTATCGTTTTTCCTCAGTTATATCAAAAAAATTTCCTGCATACACAAACACCCAGTGCAATATTTGGTTGAAGTCATTGCTATATAATTATTTTAGGGTCTTTATTATTAAAAATATGTTTTTTTTTCCGAAATATGCAAAAACAGTAAAAGGACTATTATATGAACACATTACAGTGAGGAAGGAAATAGATTTGGCTTATTTTGTTTTAACCGCATATGTCTTTGTATCATGTCAAACAATATGTATGATTCTAACATTTAAGGTTTTATATTATTTTTGAGTTATTCGAATTTCGGTTTCCTTCTGTATATATGTATAGTTTTTAGGAATCATTCGACAACATTAAGGAAAATTAAAATCGTTTAATCACTTTCATTTTTATAATTGTTGATTAATAAATCAATTTGCTGAACATTGTAAAGAGATACCATGCAATTTTTTATTCAATTGTTTACAGTAAGTGCACTAAATTCATTTCTAAAGTTGAACATTCTATTGAAATTTATTAAACGGAAAATTATTGATTTTTCTTGACGTGAATGTACTGTATCCAAAAGAAATTCTTGAAGATTTGAAAATATGTATATAATATATAGGTTCTGTTTATTGGCATATTCCTACTAAAAGTTTGTTAAATATTCTTTTAATCTCGTGACAAATTTTGGTAGAAACGACATTTAATATTGAACGCGCATTTTTTTATTATTGTATTTATATGAGATATACATGCCATTTGCATTTATAGAGGACATATTTGTGTATTTACATAAATTAAAGTTAAGGTCATAAAGTAATTTTTAATTTATTGATTTTAACATTGTATTCAGCATTAATTTATTTATAGGTTGACATTATTTTAGGAAATTTTCTGTACTTTGAATACCCCAAATTTCACATTCTTTATACGGAATCAAAAAATGATCCTGGTAATAGTTTTTCTTTATTTCTGCTTATATAATTTATGTTGCATACAATTATTCTAACAACAATAATTTGCCGCTTCAAGTTTAATCAAAAAATTCTTTCAATTTTGTTCAAAAAATTTTGACTATTAATTTTTCTTCAATTAATCCCGCGCCCCTCTTTTACAATAGTTCTACACAAATTTCTTATACAAATTTGACGTAATATACTACTATTAACTCCCACACTCATATATACATTCTTAAATATGAAATTTTTTCTAGACCTTCTTTGTCCAATGTATTAGCCACCCAAATTATAAGCGTATGTATTTCTTCATTTTCAATTTTCCAGTGCTTTTATAATAAAAACATAGTATTCAAAAAAGAGCATTTATTTTTAAGGGATAGAAAATTAAAAGTTTATAAAACATCAAACATTTCAAATTTCTTAAAATAATCTTTTATTTTCTCTTTTTAATTAGACGGATTTATTTGGGCAAAATATACTTCACATCACCCATCCTGATGATCACCAAATGTTAAAACAACAGCTAATTCCAACAGATTTAGATCAACTCTTCGATATCCAAGAGGATGAAAATGGAGAACCAAGACCAAGAACACAGGAAGAAGAAAATGAAATCGATAGACGTTTGTTGGCTGATAAAAGAAATTTTACTGTTCGGTAGTATAAAAATAAAATAGTTATCATGACAGTAAATTTTATTAAAATTTTTTATCTGAAAAATAGATTGGCAAGGGCTACGCCACGTAGTGAACCTGCGGCGTATGAGATAGTTAAAATCGATGGATGTTTTAGACGTGCCGATTCAGCTCCACGTGGTGTTAAGTCAAGTACGTTTCCTTCTGGTTTACAACTGATTCGAAGAGCTCGTGGCAGAGACGATTCTATACCTTTGCCTAGTATAAGTGCAAACGATATTGTAAATACATTTCGTAAAAATTGTATTCAAATAATATCAAGTTTTATTTAATTTCTCTTAAAAGGTTCTTGTTGCTATGGTTCGCATAATTAAACCCCCTAAAATAATTGATAGGCTACGTGAAGCAAATAATTTCGAATATAAAACGAGACATCTCATAGATGGTAGAATGATAATGGTAGATCAAAGGATATCTCTTGTAGCTGGTTATATGACGGATGAGGTAACTGGTTTAAGCCCTTTTACGTTTATGCATCAAGATGATGTCCGATGGGTAATTGTAGCTTTAAGACAAAGTAAGTCATTAAAATAATTTATTATAATCAACTCTAAGTATGTGTTAATAAATATAATTTTACCCCTTCTTGGAATTTTAGTGTATGACAGTAATAGTTCTTATGGTGAATCTTGTTATCGTCTATTGACACGTACTGGACGTTTTATATATTTAAGGACCAGAGGATATCTAGAAATTGATAAGAATACAAATCAAGTTCATTCTTTTTTGTGTATAAATAGTTTGGTTAGTGAAGAAGAGGGTCGTCAGCGGTGTCAAGAAATGAAAAATAAATTTTCAATAATAATTAATGCGAATATACCACCATCTAATACAGATGGATTGGCTGTAGATAATCCTCAGCAATTAGAAAAAGCAGTAATATACCTTATTGAAAATTTACAAAAAACTGCCCGTGAAGTTGTTGAAGCTGATGATGATGAATATTGCAATGAAAGAGGTCATTCGAACGAAAACGCTTTAGATTGCAAAACATCCATTCATGGTTGTGATGGAAATGAATCTCCAAAAAATACAGAGCGATTAACAAAGTCGCCTCCGTTAACATTAGTTCCGCCTAACACTTCGTCAATAAAATCTTCAATATCTAAAAGTGTTGCAGTTGTTAATACAACAGCTGCCAAAAGTTTTAGAATTAGTCGTGCTAAAAGCAAATGCTTATCAGAAAAATCTAACATAAAAGATGATATATCATCTATTGGTGAGGATAGTAACAGTAGTAATAATAGCAGTAACCTTAATCTATTTGCAAATGATGTAGCTGTTAAAGAAGAAGATCAAAATGATAAAACATCATTTCATTTTAATAAAATTAATCACAATTGCGGTAATAAAAATTATAATAGTAATGAAAATATTAGTAGTCTTAACAATAACGGTAGTAGCAGTACTAATAAAAGTTATAATGAAAATGAGTCGAACTTTGAAAATCAACAAAGAAAGCAACAAAATAGTGATATAAATAATATTTTAATAAAAACCGAAAACATTGAATATTTTAGTGATAATGATAATTTTAATGAAAATAACAATCGCGTTCCACCATTACCAAAAAACAGCGGTTATTATGAAATAGAAATAATAAATGATCCTGCAAATAATTCAAATTTTGGTGATGCTAGTAAAATATTAATGACATCCAGAACAGAATACAAAGTGGTTCAATCACCTTCAACATCTTTATCGAAATACGATGAATTAAATAGAAATAGAGAACAGCAGAAACATCCCGATTTAAAAAGAATGAGAAATACTTATGAAGACATAACATTAGATTCTTGCGATAGTCCGTCAAGAAAACGTATTGCGCTAAGCGATAGTCCATTAGGGATAGAAAATGTTAGTACTTCTTCATTGGATAATGATCAAATGTTTATGAACGCTACAACGGCAATGCAAAGAACGTCTAATCCACAAGAAGGTAAATAAAAATCTTGAAACATACACTTATTACTTTTGTTTTACTCGGATTTTTATACAATTATTATTCAATTTTCGTAATCATTATTATTCAATGTATGTATAAATTATTTTTGTATTTTTGTAGATCTTTCTCAATTACTACCTAGCTCATTTAGTCAAATTAAAAATTCTCTATCACATATAAAAACTGCCACAACAGAGCTAAAACGCCAATGCATCGCTTATGCAGATACTCAAAACCAACTAGAGGAAATCATAGTACGTTTGATTTTTTGTTACTCGATTATTTACATATAATATATATATATATATTTAAAAATATAAAAGTATTTAATATTTTCTAAAATTTTGTTTTGCGAATTTTAGGATGAACGTGATAAACAAGAAGAACTTTTGGAAAATATTCAAAATGAATATGAAGCTCATTTATTAGAACATCAAGGATTAGTGACTTCGCCAATTTCAACATCAGATGGAAGTATTTCATTGTCACTATCAAACGTTTTAAAATCTTCCGAATGTAAATCTTCAACGACGACCGCAGCTAAAACAAACACCGTGATAGATTTTGATACGGATGATATTCTTCAACGAAATATTAACTTAACCAACACAAGATAAACTTAATAAGCCCCAGTTATAAAAACTAATCATAACAAAAAAAAAATAACAAATGTGTGTGTGAAATAGTCCCAAAATATTAAAACATTTATTAAGAAAGTTTCAAAACAAAAAAAGCAAATTTAAATTATATTTATGTTTTTCAGAATTTATAATATAAGCAAAAAATAAATAAAAAAATAAAGTTGATATTGTGGATGGAATTATTGTAAAATTGAAAAAATCTGATGTTGGATTGATGAATGTCTCTAAGTAATATAATATTTGTATTTATTTAAATCATATTGTGTATACACATGATAATAAATAAGTAATGTAGTTAAATTTTATATATAATAGCATAACAGGAATAGGATAATTAAACTGGGGCAATAATATTTTTAAAATTAAGTTATTTAACTATTTTTATTATAGTTCTAAATTTGTTATAATAATTTTGCTATAATTTTTATTATTATCATTATTACCACTCTTATGATTATTATTCTCATTATTATAATTAATAAAATTATTTTTTTTTTTACTTTTACCATTATTATTATTATCACTATTATTATTATAATTATAATTATTATTATTATTATTATTATTATTATTATTATTATTATTATTGTAATTTTTGTTTTTATTATTATTATTCATTAAAGTACTATGTTTTCATTTTAAGGTTTACAAGTACGTATGAACTCTGTCCTAATGATATATTATAAATATTAATTCTTTTTTAAATCAAAAATTTTAGTTTTACTTGTGTTATATTTGTTCATGTAGATATAATTAAAAACATTTTTTTTTTGTTAAATATTTGGTAAAATTATTTAAAATTCGCAATATTAAAATTAGAAAAATTTAATTTGATAAGAGTATGTATATGCACATATGTTACAAAGTATTCTTTTGGTAATGTCCCAAGGTTTCTTGTCCAAGGGCTGTTACTATTTTGAAAAATTCTGTTATCTTTGTAGGTTTAAAATTTCCGCTTCTCGGCAAGATATACAAAAGCCTGTCAAAAATGTCTCCATATAAAATTAAAAGAAGGATATAAAGTTGTTTGCTATAGTAGGATACTAAGATTTTGCCAAAACGAAATCAATCAAGTACAAAGATTACAAATTTGCCTCATTGAGTTCTTTCTCGTTTGCTAGTTGCGTGAAAAATATCCACCTTCAAACAACAACTTTCTTTTTGAATCCCATACATTTGGTTAGAATTTTGATATGCACTTAACGTGCGTTGTTCTTGTACCAAGACTTAAAATTACCTATTCTTAAATATGGCCATGCATTTTAGGGAACTTACTAATGAATATGTAGATTATGGCATCTGTACTGTATGTACTGTATGAAATGTAGGTTTATATTCATTTTGTATGTTACATTCATGCTAGTTATTGATTATATATTTACGATTCTTGTTTGGATCAGATCTTTGGCATCAATAATTGTTTTCTACAACTATGGTTGTAGGTTCTAATCAATCGACATTATGTACGCTATATGAATGATGAAGATTTTTCATACAGCGTGAGATATTTTTTAAAGCTTTACTGGCTGTTGCTGTTACTGGCCCACAAATGTCATCCTATAAGAGATTCTAGAAAAATAACACCAAATTGGTGTTAATTAGGTCTCATTCTTTTCCAGTAAGCCATTATGATTGAAATTCCAAAAATTATTCTAGGATAAGCAATTTCACGATAAAAATAGCCCAGGTTCTTGCTCTTTTTTACTTTAACTGAATTATAAAAGACTTTGAAATTAGAAAAAAAATTGAGTTTTAGGTCTGCTATGAAAATTACATTTATTTATGTTTTGGGTAATATAATGTTTTTATGTATGTACTTATGTATACATAAGTATACATAAGTACATACATACATACATATGTAATGTAAATATTTTTCTCTGATTTTTAAATGCAGATTGAAATAATGAATATTTCAAATTTTTTCTTTTAAAGGCAAAAAATTTTTTATAGTTCTCAGTCTTCATTTTATTTTAATTTTCTCTTTATTAATGATCTTTATATGAAATGGTACGGCAGTTTACTTCTTTTTAATTTTTGTAATTGTTTGGAGCAAGTTTTAGTGAATACGTATAATTATTTTATAAATAATTTATTTAAACAATTTTGACGTAAATTTTAATCTTAATTAGAAGAAAAATTAAAGTAAATAAATGAGGTTTGTGAAAAATTGTGTTTATGTTTTTTTTTGTTTATTTTTTTTTAAGCTTATCGATTATCAATTAATATGTAGTTGAAATATAATTTGAGCACTAAAAGAATCAGGGCCTATAGTGCTAGTTGATACCTGTTTGTCGATATATTGAATCATAATATAAATTTTTATATATTTTCCAATTACACACTAAAAATTTGATTTAAAATTTCTATTAAATATGAATGCAGTTAAAGACTTGCATTCGAAATTTTTAGATCCGTCCGAATTTCAAGTGTAAAAATCACCAACTATATTTCGAATTTATTTTCTTTTAGTAATTTCAACTAAAAGCACCGGCATATGTATGTCTGTTTAAATAAAATAATGAACTAATATTTAATAAAAATTCAAATAACACTTTGTAAAATTTGTCTTTACAACATTAATCAAGTTTATCTTGCTAACTCAAATCGATATTGTTTCTAATACAAAAGTATTGTCAAAATTTTATAAAGATAACAACCTAAAAACCTTGTAACTTTGTAACATCAGTTTATGCGAGGTCAGTGTTTATATTATTTTAAAATTATTTTGTCAGTGAACAGGATCTGTAAATATTTAAAACTTTGAAAGTGTTATTCATGCAGTGTTATTCTCTTAATCTGTACTATTTCTTGATTAAATATTTTCAAAATATTAAAATCCTTTTTTTTTTTTGTATATTTTAAAAGTGTCCTATTTATGGTTCGATTTAATAACTCAAATTTTAAATTTTCGCCTTCAATTATTGTTGACCCTTTGCACTATCATAAATAGCGATGAAAGTGCGATTTGATTAATAGCTTAAATTATATATAAATTTTTATTAGGAAATAAATATAATATATTTATATACACATATAATGTATTATATATTCTTTTAATAATATATAAAATACTAGAAAATATATTTGTATAGAAAAGATATTTGAAAAAGTAGACACGTAAAAATTTTGCAACGAAAATAAATTCTCTTTATTAAAAAAAAAAAATATATTAAAAAAAATGAAAGTGATGAAAAATGAAAATTAAGATCCCATACCTAAAGTTGATTGAAGTTTGCTTTACGTAATAATTTTTATATTAAATTAATTTTTTTCAAATTTAAATAGAAAATAGTCATTTTCAATTATTGCTAACTCTTAAATACTATTTAAATGTTAATAAATTTATAATATACAATAATTTATAACAACTTTTTCAATAAATTTATGTAGAAACACAAAAGGGATGAAAATACTGGTGTAAAGTTTAGATTAATATTGTTATAAAAGCAACAAGAAATATTAATGAAAAACCGATTTTTTTTTTGCTAATTTGTTTTTATAATAAAACATAATGCATCAACTTTTCTTTGCACATGAAACATTGCTCTGAAAAAGTACCAATTAAAATTTGAGCGTTAATGGATTTCATAGTTTCCATTTATATTTTTTTTTCTAGCAAAACAATATTAATGGGATTTGTTTTTACTTTAATTGAATAAAATATTTAACTTTCACCCAAACTTATCCAAGTAAAATAAATTTATATTTCATTTGCTGCCATTTAATTTTAATAACTGAACTCATTATTAGAACAAAATTTTTATTCCGACAGTGAATACAATTTTTTATATTGCACCATGCAACTACTTAAAAACTTTTTGTAAGCTTAAAAATAATTGTATATTGAGCTCAGTTTAAATGAAAATGTTAAATTAGATCTTATTATATCGTACGAGTAAGCTACATATTTCAAAACTATATAGATACAGTTTGGATTTCAAATTCTAATCAGGAATTCCCACATGAATTTCCGTCATGAATAATTTTTGTAATTGATTATTTTCATTTTAAATTTGAAAAGATTATAGTTTTAAAGAAAAAGAAGATAATAATTTTTGTAAATAAAAAGTGTAATATTAAGATTTTTTTAAGGTTTTGTTTTAAATTTTTTTTTTTTTTCTTAATTTTCATAACGAATATAAATATTATAATATATATGAATATATATACATGATTAATTAATTAAGATAGGGTATAATTAACGATTATTATTTTCAATTTATTTTAAGAATTGAAATCAATTAATTTGCGTGCTTTATATGATTTTTCAATATAAACAAATACAATTATTAAAGAATTTACAATCGTAAATAAAATTTGTTAAAAAATTATTTTAATTATTATTACTATTATATTATATATTTTTACATTTATTATGTTACTTTAATATAGTATATTAATATATTATAAAAAATTATTTTTTTATAGTTTAATATTTTAAATTAAATTTTAATTATAATCAAATAAGATTAAAAAAAAAGGAATTACATGTTTCAAAAATTGTGTTTTATTTTTCATTAGAAAAAGATAAATTAAGCTATAGATATGGTGAGGGAAACTTAATTGTTATGAATGCCTAGTATTTCTAAATAGACCAATAAATTTGGAATAAATTATTAGTATTCTAAACTCTTACATGAAAATTGGATTGTAAAATATTCAAAAAATAGCTAGAGCTATATTTCAAAACTACTAAGGCATTTTTAAGTTATGTTTTTTAAGTCTAATGCAAAATTATTATAAAATAGAAGAGGAGCATAATAGAAAAATGTTGGATATTTAAGAATTGCTCGAGTATGTCAGGAATTTTCAAAAATAAATATTAATATGTGAATTAAAATAATAATTAAATTTATTATAATGCTTTTTCAGATTTATGAGTATGTATCTTAAGACTTCTAATATTTGATTTAGAACTTTTAGTTAATGTCTGAATTATCGAAAATCCCGAAATTTTAAGTTTAAATCCAAAATAGTTGAATGAGATCTGCAGCGGTTTAGTAGTCCAAAACCGATTTCTGAAAAAATACTTATATATTAATAATATATATATAAAAAAAATATAAAATTTTAATTTGATTTTTTACTTAATTTATTTATATTTCATGATTACTGCCATATACATATATAATAAAAAAGGAAATGAATTAAAAAATAATTAATAAAATTTTTTAATTTTGCATTTTAAAGTGCGTTATTAAAGATCAATTAGTATCAGAAAATTAATAATTAGCTCCTAGAGAATTAAATAAAATTTTATTTGAGATCAAAAACAAAAAAAGTTTATTTTATATTACCAAAATATTCTTTTTTTAGGTTTCTATGTCCTTGTATCCGATACAACATTGCATTTTTTAATAAATTCAACAAAGTTCAATTTTCAATCTCAATTAAATTTTAATAAAATTCTTACAATAACCAAAAAAAAATTTCTTAGTAATTATTTTTTTCTTATAAAAATTTTCATTATTGCAGTTTATTTAAAGAAATTGAAAAATAATATTTTTATGATTCGAAAACAGGTGATTCGTCCCTGAATCCATTTTCAATTATAATAAAGAATAATATATGCACATTTTATGTTTTGCATTTTTTAATGAATGCGTAGAATATGGCTTTCTATTGAATAACAAAAATTAGCAATAAAAAAAAATTAACCAATACTATTTTCTTTTTATAAAAAAATATAGAATACCACAAATTATTTAAATTATTTTTATATTAATTTTAGTTTATATATATATATATATATATATATAATATCGTATATATTGTTTTACATAGCATACGTTTTACAGAATTCTCTACGTTTTTTTTTTAACTAATTGTATTACAGAATATTTTTCATTTCTCATTTTTTTTTTGCATTTTAAAAATTATTTTGCATTTTTTGTTTATTGTAAATTCATTATAATTTTATTTTAATTAATAAAGTTTCGCGTACTGTCTGCGCGCGCACACTGCTTTCTGTCTCTTGTCCCCGATTTGATTCTATAACTTTCTATCTACCTATATATAAATAAGATTTTACTTTTTAAATTTGAGTATATTAGCAAAAAATATTTTTTTAAATCAATTGTTAGTATCTAATTGTTTTTTACTTTTCAAATTTAATTTAATTTTTTTTTAATTCATTTTGTTATTTTTGCGATAATGAAGTACAATAAATATTGTTTTCAACAAAGACTATAAGTATACAGACTATTTACATTTATTATAAATATTTTTTTTTGTTTTTTTTTTTTTAATTCTTAAGTTATACATCTAAAATATAGAATAATATTGTAATTATATTATTAATTTTTCTCTTTGGTACAATGTTAAATATTAGTAAGCACTAATAAGTTTTTAAAAGTTATTCACTACTATCCCATTTAAATATTATTGTTTTCGTAAATATTACAATATCCATTGTTTTTATATTAGATATCAAAAATTGTAATTCTTCTACATTTTTTCTTATTTAAACATTTCTGCAAAATTTTTAAAAATAATTAATATACGTTGTATTCAAACATTTATTATAATAAAAAAATTAAAAAAATAATGAAATTTTATTTTGTAAATTTTATATTTCTTATTTAATGACTGCCGTCAGGAATTTATAATCTAATCTAGACAATAATGAGAATAATGAGTCATAAATGTACATTATGGAATACCGTATAAGTTTTTTGAAAAAGCTGAATTATGAAATAAAGCGCAAAATATTTAATGTGATTGTCATTTATATAGAATTACATAAAACGGACTAATTTTAGTTATATTATTTGAAAAAGAAATATGATTTATAATGTACGTACCTCAAAAAATATTAAGAACGGAATTAAATAATTTTATATATTGATATAGCTTTGCATTTTGAAACAAAAGGCATAATTTTGCATACTCGAATATGTGTTTGTTTAATAAAAACTTTTCAAGCTATTAGTTACTAATTTCAAATTAATTAATAAATTTTAACAGAACACATTTTTCAGAACCAGCCATTATTATTTTTTTAAAATAATAGAATTAGTAATGGCAATTTCCTTATCAAAACACGAATTTCTTTAATAATTTAATATGAATTTGAATTTTCATGCAAATTTAGTATTAAAAGTTAGATTACATTAACATTCTGGTCTTAAAAGTGGGATTATCATTATTATAACTTACTAAAATTAAAAAAATAACCCAAAGAGAAAATATTGGAATTGATCATTAATTATAACTTATCGTATTTGAGACTAAAATGTTTTGGAAACATTATTTTGAGTTTTTTTTTGTTTTTTTCTGTATATAAGATTAATTAAATGTTGTCAGGTTCTTATATAATTAAAGCTACTGGAAATTATTATATTATATTACTAATACATTTTTTTTCTTTTATTTTAAATAAAATAAATATTTACAAAAAATTAATATTTAAAAGTCTTTTTTAAACTTGTAGAAAGTTCATAAATAAATAATATGTAATTGTATAAATACTTTTTAATTTTCAAAATAGAAGCTATAACCGCATAATATACCATTCCATTTTTACTAATCTCAATAATATGTAATGGTCTTTGCATTTAAAAATACTGTTTTAGTAATTTATTCTATATAAATATCTTCAATAGGGTATGCTGTCTCAATAAATTTTTGATAAAAACGCTGAAAAGCCCTCCTAAAATATTAATATATACATATATATATATATATATATATATATAAATTAAAATATTTAATAATTTATAATTGAAAATAATATTTAAAATTAAGATATAATATAAAACTTACCCTACGGCTTCAGCAACTGGTCTTGTTGAATCATTCCCTTTGAAAACATGAACAGCAAAACGTTGAACTGTTGGATGTTTTGTAATAAAACCAATGTATCTATGATCACGTGGATGAAATGCACAAAATGAAACATTTTTTAGTGAGTAGAAATAATCAATACACGGTTTCTTTTCTTTTTTGCCCTGAAATAATCAAAATAGCAAAGAAAAAAAAAACACGGAATAAATTTAAGCTACGAAAGTTAAATAGAAAAATTTCATTCATACTTGAGGGGATGATCTATCAACCATTCTTAAACCTTGATCAGATACTTCTAATATGCATGGTTGTCCACATGGTGTATCACCATATTCGCCTAAAATTTTCCGAACAGCTGAGCAAACTACTCCTGTACCTTTGTGAGCTGATGTTTCTACTGAACCTAAATATCCTAACAAATAACGTTCTTTTTTTACTTGATTTGCTGTTGGATCAAAATCATTATAATCCAAATCAACTGCATATGCTGAAGGAAAAATTCCTTGACGTCCAGTTCTTAAATTAACTCCTTCACACCATAAATCTTCAGCTTCTTTTTGTACATAAATTGGATCACCGATTTCAACTTCAATTTCATCATGATGACGCGGAATAAATTTATGTAAACCTCTGTGTGTTGCTTCCAACATTCCAATTTGACCAAAAGCAACACCTCCGAAACCTTGTGGAAATGGTGAATGTGATTGGGGTGATGATAATTGAGGTGACATACTCTTCATATCATTTGGAGAATGTGTCGTGCTATGACCACTATCGACATCACCGAAACTTTGCATTCGCTCTGAATCAGGACTAGAATCCTCATCTAACAAATAACCACATTTGTGAGATAAAAATGATTTTTGAAGATTTGTTTGATTCATATTGCTATGATTATGATGATGATTATGTTGATGATGCTGATGTTGAGTAAATATAATGGTTTGTGATCGACCGCTTAGTTCATCAGCTAAAGTAGTTTGGCCACAAAGAAATACCAAAGATGCTAAAAAAAAATATCAAAAACACAGAATTACTTAGTAAAATTTTGAATTTCTTCTCATTTTCTTTGCAAAGGCAAACTTGATTCAAAGAGAGTTTGTGGAAAGTGTGCCAAATATTTTTTACGCCATTTCAAATATTACGTGAAAGCAAAGCTAGAGCCAATAAAACATAAGTTGCATTTAATTGTTAATACAATTTAATATGGCTATTTGTTGTCCCGAATTAATAAAATTAAATAAATGTAAAAATGAATTTCCAATCGCATGAAAATAAAAATGCACAAAGGAAGCAATTCATTTCCCGATTAAGGAATAAGGTTAGTTAAAAATTAAAATGGCTTTATTTATGGCGTAGTTGAAGAAATTGTTTATTTAAACCGCAATTGAATTTGAGGTTTTATACGGAAGTCTACGATTTTCATAGAACTACGAATAGAAGTTTTTTGGTTTTCTTATTAAATTAGCGGTCCTCATTTAGTATTTTAATTTTTTTTTTATGAAAATGGAAACTATAAAGTTGAAATATACACGAAAATTTGCTTCAAAAAATGTCATTGGAACAGTAACAAAACTAAAACTATTATGATGAATAGATTTCAACTACAAAAACTGACTAAAAATGATAGAAATGCTACATTCTATAAAACCATTGCAAATGAATTATTTTTGAAGAAACGAAATGTAAACGTATATAATGGTTCTTAAAGTAACGAGTACTACATACATAAACTAACGTTCTCAAAATATTCAAAATTTTACATTTTAAACATAATATAAATATATTTATAATTTTAATTATAAAACAGCAAACTTCTACTTTTCAAACTAGATACTTTTTTATATATATAACCTGACTAACTCAATATGATGTCTTAAGACTAACTCACGTTTTTTATTTTTTGGTATTTCAGGAAGTTTTCTTCGTCGACGTTCGCCACATATAGATTGTATTGAATTAGTTCTTTCCAATTGTGCTGAATTTGATGAAACTGTTGAATCACTTTCACCAGATAATTGTTGTGATACTTTTGTTATTGTTTTTAGACCATCACCGATTTCATCATCTTCAACTTCACAATTATTATCCAATTGTTCATTATGATGAGTAATACTTTGTTTTCTAATTTGGGTTTGAGTATTTCCGCCACAATTGTTTTCTTCAAGATCCGAATCGCTTTTTGGTGATGTAGAATCATCAAGCTCATCTAAACCAGGTATAAGTCTAAAAAAAATAATTGAATTTAATATTTTATGAAAGACAAATAAATTTAATATTAATTTTGGTTATTGTTTTTAAACTTCGGCTATAGAATTTTAAACTATTGTAAATAAGGTAACAAATTAAGTAGAATAATTTGTTACCTTATTTACACACGTACATATATTGCGCTTGTTGAAATGATCCCGATTATGGAGATTACGTCTGCATGCATTACCAATTACTTAAACTTATTTTAGCTTTGTGCCTTTCCCTTCCTAATCTGCACATCCTATATTTAATTTTTCTTATCAAAAATACATTATTTTCATAATTTTCTCCACTGAATTGAATTATCGGTTGAAATGAATTGAAAATATTTTATATAATTTTGTATTATGCAACTGAATTCAAGCTAACTAAATACCAACTATTATGAAAAGTTTACAAATTATTTTATGATTGTTGTAATTTAAATGAATTTAAATGATTAATTTCCATGTAATTTATACAAAATAAAAACAAAAAACAAACGTCATAAAACAAAAAAAAAATGGGAAAAATAGAATCAGGATATTCATATGCACACATATATGTATGTATTGTACACAGAATATTGTTTAAAAATATACTCATACAAAATTAATTTGATTACCAATAATTGGCAACCTTATTATAGAGTCGAAAATTATTGCTAACATTTAATAAATAACAAAAACTTTAATGTCCTTGCACAAAAAGAAAACGTATTTGTAAGTATGTATGTGTACATATATCACATCTTTGCATGTGCTTATATAAATTCCCATATGTACATATACATGTGAGTATGTAGATATATTCATAAATAATATTATGCAGATACATACATATTTTGCACATTAAAATAACATTTCCAAAAAAAAAAAAAGAATAATTTCGTTTCTTTGTAACAAAAAAAAAAAAATTAATAATTTTTATTTTTATAACTCTACTAATTTCCTTAATACCTGAAATCCTTATAATTTATTTTATATTTTTGGTCCGAGAATAAATATACCCACATTTGCATATTCTACACGTATTTTTATACTTACGAATAAAAAGGTGCTATGCTGTTCTTCCTTTTTAATGAAATATTTTCAAATGTTTTTCGGAATTCTTCAAATTCCGTATCAGCCATCTCTCGTTTTTCTTCAAATATTAGCTACGTTTTACAAAATTAACAAATAATTTCTTAAAATATATATTTAAAAAAAAAATCAACCACAATATTTCCTTTTTCTTATTGGAAAAATTACAAAAAATATTTTGCACGAAATCAATAAATTTCCTCCCTTCGTCTGCGTATAACGTAAATGAATTTTCAATGAAGGGTTGCTGTATTTTTGATTTTAATTTTTTGAAAGTGTGTTTGTGTGTTTATTTAGAAGGTACTAAAATTGAGTCTCGAAATCATATATTTTTTAACGTTATCATTTTTATTTGGTTACTTTAGGGTTCGTTCTGAAATTTTTCAATACGTCATTTTTTTTTTTAATTATCAAATTAAACATTTTTTATGATATTCAAGCTATTCGGAATATCGTAAAGTTTCAATTTGACATATAAATTATTCACAATTATGTACGAGATTACTTTGGTTTTTAACTTAGGTAATTGTTATAAAATAATATTTGCGTTCCTTTCCCATGTTCAAACTGTTCATGAGCTTATTTGCCTTGTTTGTAAATGGAACGTTCTCTTTCGGTATATATAGGAGTAAAACATAACCTCAATTTTTTTCGTATTACAATTTTTTTTTCATATGGTTCTTTTTTTTATTCAAATATGAATTTTATAAAAAAAAAAAAATTTCGAATATTATAATTAAATGCCAAAATAACTCTGAAAAAACATTCTACTACTCGGCCTACCAGAAAAAAAAAACATTATTTACGCATTCGTTCGAGTGGTGTTTCAATACGTATAAATGGAACGTAAACAATTTTATTGCTCTTATGAAATAGCAGAGGAATATTTTTTTCGGGATATTTTCTTGAGAAGAAAAATCCAGTTGACTTTCTGACTACTAGATTATTAAGTATTATTTGCAGTATATCATGTATAGTTAGTAGCAGCTTGCGTATTGCAGCTTATTTGCAATTTTTTTTTAAAAGCAGTAACCGTTTAACAAGGACGTGCTGAGGAAAGTCATTTGCAATAACTAGATAGATCGTAAATCTTTACTTTCACATCCGTTTTATTTAATATACACAAAATATATACAGAATATTTTCTGAGTGCTTTTTTAACAATTAGAATTTAAATATTAATAAAAATATTTAAGATTTTTAAACTTAATAGGAATTTTTTTTTAAATCTTGGTCCCCAAATGTTCGATTTAAACGTAGAATAAAGAATTTAATTGTTTTTATTGTCTTCATTATTTGAAGTTGCAGTTTTTAAAGATTTTGTTGAACTATCTGAATTGTCCGGGCTCAAAGGACTGATAGGAGTACGTTCGCCACAAACCTAAAAATGATATTTAAAAAATTTAATTTTTATATGATAAAGTGAAAGAGTATAATGTTATCGATATTTCACATACGTTCAAACTTGTACTTAGCATATTTGCAATACTTTCAACATCCAAATCTTGATCTAATGCAGAAACTTTACGTAAAGCCGAACAAACGATGCTTAAATCACCTTTCAATTCACTTACAACTGCGGTTATTTTCTTAGCATTTGATAAAACTTCTACACTTTGAGTATATGGATTATAGCGAACCCCAAATGGTCTTTCGATATTATCTGCAAACGCCCTAAAATAATTCGAAAACATTTTATTCACTCTAATTCTGACCATTAAGTGATTTTTACCTCATCTTTTCTTTTGCTTCTTCGAAAGAATCCGTATAGTAATAAGCATTTTGATAAGATGTAATGATGCATTCCTCTCTCCAAGTTATGTCGGGATCAAATTTTTTTATTTTTTTCTGGGCTGCAATAGCATGTTGTAATTCGGCAACCGAACTAAGTAGTCCAGCTCCATAAACTTTAAAAGAATTATCTGGCTGCTTGCAAAGTCCGAATTCAACAGTAAAGAAATAAAGCTGCAAAAGAGAAATAATTAAATTTATATTCGAAACAAGCAAAAATAATCAAAGCTCATGTTTTTGTACAGTTGCCAATTTATCTATATCGTCATCTGCGGCTCCAAGCGATGCTAAGCCAATTTCTTGAGAAAATTGTGCAAAACTGGGATTTGCCAAAAGCGGCATATGTCCCAAAAGTTCGTGGCAACAATCACTAACGTCAAAGAAAATGCTTACTACACATGAATAATATTGAAATTTGTTTACTTACGGTTCAGGAGTATAAAATGGATCTGATGAATGCCGAATATATTGTGTACAATGGAATACCCTAAATGCTAAACCTGATAAAAAATCTCTAGGTGAAAGATAACCAGCAACCGGTCTTAATTGAAATCCAGTTTTTCTTTTTAAAAATTCACTAACATCTTGTAATTGTGGAACATTGTCATCACGATATCCGCAATATTTTACAAGCAATGGCCAATTTTCCATAAACTCTGGAACAGCATGCTGAACATACAACTTATAAAGCTCACGAAAAACAGTTCCCCTGAAAGTTAGCGATATTTAATATAAATTAAAACTTAATTTTTGTAATAGAAGGTGTACCATGTCTTAACTTCTTCAGGAGTATATTGTACTCTGGGTATTGCATGCCCGCTATAAATTAAATATTAATTCGAATTTACAGTAAGTAAAATAATGAAATTATTTTTTTAATACTGTTTAAAGTTGTTTGCAATCGCTGCAAATTGTTCTCTTCTTTTCCTATATACAGGATCTTTGAAACCGGGATGGTCTGCGTCAAGTTCTGACCCATACATTAGAACATTTTGTGCCTTATCTAAATCACTTATTTTCCTTGGAAACCATACCATTTCCCCAAAATCTAAAGTACCAAGCGTAATACAATCATAAACACTTTAGTTATAAAATAAGAGAAATGTTTATTGCACATACCGAAACTTGAACAGGCCGACAATGGGGTATGTGGAACACGATCTGTACCATCCCTAGCTGTTGTGTAATTAACTGAGTGTACTTCTCTCTTTAACATCCGAATGACCTGATCCAATCGATTATAATCACATTCTATGTCCACAAGTACGTCAGCCTTTACTCATAAAATACAATTTGAAAAATAAATAAATTTGTTAAATACAAATAATCTGCCTGTTTAATTCAAAAATGTTTTTTGGAAAGTTGCTAAAATTTAAGTAGTATCTTGCAACCATGAAAAAAATTAGCGCAGGTAAATTCTAAAGCTAACCCTTTTTATCTAATCTTATTAGTTAGCAGGTAGTTTCATTTAGTCAAGTGACAAGGTCCACTCTGATCGCAATGGGTCACGGAACGATATTACTTTTCAATATAAATCTATCAAGTTTTCGGAACAACTAAACGTTGTAACAAAATTGCTCTGTAAAATAGGAATTATACTAAAATCTCCGGATGTTTTTCAATTAACTACTAATAAAACTAAAATAAAACTGAATTTGCCAGCAAATTGAAAATTGAAATGCAGTCGATTATCTTTAAATTTAAATTTTAAGTCGAAATCAACTTTTATTTAACTTTTAAAGAGAAAGTTCGGATTTCCCTGTTTGCCGATTTTAGTGGCGGTTAGTCGTTTTTGATAGCTGACAATGACTAATTAGAATTAAGTTCAAATGAATTTGACAACAGTGAAATATATGAAATGTTCACATAATAAGAATTTCTAATTCACTAAATAAAAATTTTTTCGAATTCAACAAATATTTCAAAATTAGTTCCCAAATTTTACAAATTTTTTCTCTTTCTAGCGGCTTTGAAATAACGCTTTAATCAAGCAAATCTAGATTATTTTTAAAAATTCATCTCTAGATAGTTTAAGTAATGTTACCTGTCTTGCCATGGAATCCATTGGTTGCAGTTCCAGATGTAATACATTAATCCCAAGTTCTTGGAATACTTGAAGTGCTCTAGCCAGATTTCCAATTTGATTTTTCAATGTGAATATTATTGAAACTCGATCCTCTGGAGAAGCAACTTTTTTCAATGTATTGACATCATTTTCATCATTCTCCTTTAATTTTGTATCATAAAAGATAACAAAACATAAATACAGGAAACAAAGTAAACTTTACTAATTTCGTGAAAATTTGATAAAAAAATTTAATAAAGTTGGGAAAAATAACGTGATTGATTTCATGATGGATAAAGAGGACAATGTAACCAGCTCAGCGAATATTTTGCATTCATTGTGAAATTAAAGTGAATACAACAATGGACCACCGTATACAGTTAACATGTAATCAGCACCCAACTTCAAACGAGGAAATTCATTACATGAAGTAAATATTACAAAAAGAGCTTGCAAGTACATTAATGTATACTTGGCCAATACAACTCGTCTTGATATAGCAAGTGTCCTTTCTAGTTCTTGCGAAAATCTTAGGAAAGCTCTTTGGAATGCTGCCTACACGTCAAATATTTTAAACAATTTTTCAAATTTTAAAATTAAGAATCAAAAATGAAAAAAAATTAGTTTGCTATGTGGATTCTGATTGGCCAGGTGATATATGTGTCTGATAGAAGATCTTGTTATGATTACTTAGTTTTTATTGTTGACGCACTGTTATATGAAAATCAAAAACAGAAAAGTGTGCCTTTTTCAACAATGAAAGCGAAATTTGAGAAAGCTATTTAAAGAATTATCACTTAAAGAATAACTGCAGTTTACTGCGATAATCAAAGTGCTACAAAACTGAGTAGAATATCAATATCAAATATCATTATAGTAGGAAGAAATGTGAAGATGGCACAGTTTAATTTTCTTACGTTTCATCGTCGGTTATGATTGCAGATTTCTTTACAAAGCTTGAGTGAATTTTAAAATATAATGAATATCAAGAACTATATCGATAAAGAGAGCAATAATCTCTATTGCTTTTGGATTTCCTGTTTTTAAATTTGAGGGAAGTATATTACTTTCTAACATTTATTCATATACAGTCCTTTAATTTTTTTATTACAGGGCAATTTCAAAACTACAAAGTACTTTTGCAATGATGAGAACCGGTTTTGCAAATAGGAAATTACACTTGAAGCTTACAATTTAGAGCTCGATAAATCGTTAAAAGTTTTCAAAAATTAAAATTCGGAATAAATCGAGTACATAAATGATATGTAAATGACCTAAATTGAGTAAAGTAGATTCGGGATGAATATTTGAAATATTTTCGAATATTTGCGAACTATTAGCACTTTTATTCATTCCATAGGACGCCAGAGCGATTTTTTTAATAAATGCTCGAACAAAATTAGAAGTTCGAGGAAAACATCAAAGAAACGACGGAAATCCCAAAATTACAATTGAAATGTATACAAAATGCAAAAATCAGTAGATATTCCAAAATTTCGAATATTAAGACGAAGTTTGTTTGAAAAAATTTATAGAACCTTTCAAAGACATTATGAAAGAAAGATGTTATGAAATTTCTTATGTGAGAAAGATTTTTAAGGGAGAAAATTAGAAAATTTTAAACTAAGTTTCTAGTGTGCGAAAAATTTAAAGGCAGATTTTTGCCTTTAATAAACATATCTAATTCTTATTTAGTCTGAGGGCATATTTAAGGTTTAATTATTTGAATTATTTAAACACAAATAAATTTTCTCTACAAAATGTAGACTATGATGGCGTCCTCATATTCTCACGTTATAAAACTTTAAAATTTAAAAAAAAATTTCACCTTCACTTGACAATTTAAAATGAAAATTTAAATTTATTTTTAATTTTTATCCTCAATTGCTTTTAGTTTAATTTTAATTTTATTTTATATATTCACTTTAGTTTTATTATGAATCGGACTTCCATGTTTAATTGCCCATTCTTGTTCTCCGCTACGATAAAGCCATAAACCAAGTAATCCTTTTCCAGATCCGCTCATTATTTTTTATTGATTTTTTAAATAAAATTTCCAACTAAATTTTCTTTATTAAATTTAATTTTTTTATTTAATTTTATATTTATTTTGCTCTATATGATTTAAAAATCTTTAAATTTAGATGCTTAATATGGAGGAGGAGGGCGATAAGTATAAAAACAAAGTCAAAATTTCTTTAGTTTCTTCTTAAAGCCCAAAAAAAAATCTTTAAAAATTCTTTAATGCAATTAATTCCTTTTTTTTTTTTGTTGATTCACAATCGATCTTCACGAGATTAAATAGGAAACTGCAACATTTTAAATCAATTCATATCCCTTTTATACTAAAAATTTTTTTCCAAAAAAATAATATTAAAAAAAAAAATAATAAAAATAAATTCAAAAAGAATTAAGGAGTAGATAACAGTAAAATAAAAAAAAAAAATTTTTTTATTTGTAAAAAGAAGAAGTTCCTTTGAGTTCTTATAAATATTTATGCGCAAATGTATATAAGTTTGTGTATAACAACTTCTGTATGCCAATATCTCTTATATTAATCACTTTTCCTTTATTCATATACATATACATATATATGCATTTGTTGAGTTATATAATATAGATAAAGTTAAACATGTAAGTATATGTGTATATTTATTCAAAACTTTCTCCCAGATAATTAAGCGTGCAAGTGTATGTGTATTCTTAAATGTAGGTACTTTATATTTTCAAGTTGAAGAATATTTTTTCAAAGTTAAGAATCTCTTGACTTGAACCATGATTTTTTATAAGTGAATATAAAAAAGGGAAAACTATAAGAATATAATATACGAGTAGACACAAACATATTACATACATAATATATGTATATACGAATATAATACAGTCATCTCTCGTTTAAAATTGTTTTTGGGGACCGAAAATTTACAAATTGCACCTTATATCATAATGAACGTAAAATTATTCATAGAATTAAAGCCTTGAAATTAAACCCTTGAGTTTAAACAATCAGCTCATTGTTCTGCAATGTTAACAAATATAGGTCCTTATGTTATTGAGTTAATTTCGCTGTCTATAGAGAGAAAAAAAAATTAAAAAACACGTAATAAAAACTTTTTATTTCTTAAAATAATGTTTTTTTTAAGTTTTCAATGACGCCCCTATTTTCCAGCGCTCATTACAATTGCTTACTATGCATATATGATATGATCAATCCTTCAATTAAGTAAATGTTTGCCATCGGAAAATTTTTATGTTAACTAAATTTATAAAGAGAAAACATTATAATTTTTATGTGACTTCATTGTATAAAATATTTACACGGAGTTGTCCTCTGAAATTGAAGAGCAGATATTTTGCAATCTGTGCTTTTATCTTTATCGTATGTAAGACATTTTTGAAAAAATTGCACGTATGCAACACGTTATTACGTAAAGCAAGATATTTAAGCTAAGGTATGACCTGTAGATTAATTAATGAATATTCCGTAATAAAGAACATTTTTGACATATAAACATTTATAGATTTGAATTTTTTGATTGACGTTTGAAATTTCATTCGAAAATATTGAGAAATGTTATATTAAAAATTTTTGCGACTGTCATCGTATTTTTTCACATATTGAGGTGACTTCATCCTAGAGCTCACTGTTAACAAAATAATCCATATATTATACAAATAAAAATAGTAAAAACAGTAGCAAAGAGAAAAAAAAATCGCATAAATTTATCAAACTGGTAAACGGTACCAATTTTTCTATATTTATTCAATGTATCCTTTTAACATTTTCGCAACTGTTTTTTTGTTTTTGTTGTTTTTTGGTTTGTATATTTAATTTTTATGCAATATAATAAATTTGATTGGCCGAATCAAAGGAAAATCAGGATTCTATTGTTTATTTTTATTTTATATTCATTTTTTAATAATGTTGTCTTTTGTTAGGATCTGACGTAAGACGTTCTGTATTAAAATTAAAAATTTTTGAATTAAGAACAGTTTTGAATTGATAAAACTTTATTTATAGCAACTCTTGTTCTCTATTATATTTAATACGCACAAATTATTTTAAGTAGAATTTTAACTGGAATATATTTGGTATGGCTTTTAATATTTTTGATAGGAATATTTGAATATCCTGTTGAAATAAAGCGTATTTTTTGACTAAAGTTTAATTTTCGAGATGAGCTCGAAAAATGTTCCAGATGAGCGCATGAGGACGCTCTTTTTAAATACATGTATTTCAAAAAAGCATAATAAAAAAACGCTGTGAGAACAATGTTGTTTAGTTATCAGTATATGGAAATACATTTAGAGCTCAGAAATCTCTTTCGTACGTAATTGTCGGTTCTTATAGAAAACTTTATTTCCTAACCGAATATTTTTTAATTTTTGCCTAATTAAGTACTTTACTCAATATTATGTTATACTTATTGAAACACTGACAACGTGCCGACGAGCAGATTACTTATAATACAAAATAAGGTAAGCATAATAAAGGAAACTCAAGTTCCAGAACTCTAAACATCAAAATACATAAAATTTCAAAAGAATTTAAATTACCATTTTTTCTTCCTTATTTAATATTAAGAGCAATACACGTCAAGTTCCGAATTGTAATATTATGTTGGTTAATTCTGTAGCAGTTTATGAAAATACTCAATACTGTAAAATACTAAATACTGTAGAGACAAGATCTACCAGAAATAAAAGTCCTGAGTTATTCGTTTTCAAACACGATTTGCACAGTAGCTTAAGAAAACTACATCGTACACTTAAGTAGAGGTAAACTAAAAAGATAACGTAATTTATCGCAAACAAATAAATCCATTAGAAGGAATAAAAGGAAAAATAAATTTAAAATTTTCAGTCATCACTTTAATCATTTATTGGATCATGTTAGTGGGTTTTTTATAACTTGCAAAACACTTTATAAAAATAGAATTTTTAATATAAATGTACATAAAGTTATACAAGATTGAAATAAATTTATATTTAAGTTTTTAACTTAAAAGACCCATCTAAAGACCTTAACCGCATATCGCAGCTATCTTGGAATATAGGAAATATGTGAGTCTGATTTTTTCATCTGTCATTCTATTTTATATTTGATACCTACGTCTAGATGTAGTATTCCTATCAATCTAACCAGTATACACATATATACACTTACATGTATATATTAAATTATTCAAATAAAATTCATTGATTCTTTGGTGTTTTTTTTTTTATTTTCTGCTCATCAACAAGTTGCTAATGGAAAAAGTTTTTTGTGTAGTTCATGAAGGTATGACGAAGCATCGAAAAAAAAGAAAAACATTTCATTGATACAAAATTTTCAGTGTGAGTGAGTGAGATCGAAATATCGGAAGATGGATTTCAATATACCCCCCAAGAATCCAAGGAGATTAAATTAAAATTTTCACTTTTTCCTTTTTGTATTTTATGAATGAAACCGCACAGAAACAAAATAACAAAGAGATAAAATCAATAAAACACAACAATCTTAGATATATACATACGTAAATACATAAAAAGATTCAATAATATTTAAAAGAATAACTTAAAAGGATATCAGAAGAAAGAAACAGGGAAAAAGGAAAATAAAGATGCGTGTAAGAGGTAGGTTTTATGATAATGAATTCAAATATGTCCTTTTCACGATCAATTAATTTATTAACAATTTTGTTATTGTAGGTGTACGGATAATTCCTTAGTGTTTCTGGTATTCAATTGTTTGAGTAAATTTTAATTTACTTATAGCACACACTGTTTAATTATTTAAAACAAATAAAAATTTATGATTTATAACCTATAATTATTAAAGTTAGTGTAGAAATTAACAAATTGAAAAAAATCACTACCATTATTAAAACTTACCGGTACAGGACTATTATCTAATATAATCTAATTTGACCTACTCGGGAATGATAATTATATCACTGAATAATTACAAAATATATGTTAATATTACATATTGGGAGATTTTACCCATCTCTGGTTTCCAAAAGCATGCTACTTATATTTTTACTATAAAAATTTTAACTATAAAATTTAAAGGAATATGTTGTTTAACACCAGTTACATAAAGAAATTGTCATATTTGTATATAGTCTGATTTTTGCATTTGATATAAAATTTAGAAAATTGACGCCGTTCCATTTATTATCGTGAATGCTGATGCTTTCAATTAATATCTAATGATACTTATCTAATGCTGATGTATTTAATTAAAAAAGATTCGTCATACTTTTTATTATATACTGCGTCTTTGAAGATAAGTGGCTGAAAAAATTCTCCAACAACCAAAATAATTTTTATAATTCTAATTGTTTTAAAGTAGGTTTCTGTATTATGAATAAAATTTGTGAATAGTATTGATTTTCCCAAACTATGAAAGTATATCTGTCTGGAATACGATTTTTATCAGAAAACTGAAAAAAATATGTACTCCTTTAAATTTGAAAAAGTTAAATTATTTAAAAGCAAAAAGTTTCTAGTATTTTGTGCTACAAATTAAAGCTCTTGATAATAAAAATTTTGCTATATCAGGATTATACACAACATTTAAACTTTATAATATAAATGATACAAAGAATAACAAGGATATTTAAATTTCAATATCTTTTTTCTTTGATTTTTTTAACTTTGAAGTCACATACATCTTTATGCATATTATAGTTCTTCTTATACATATATAATAATATATATTAATAATAAATGATTTTATATTAATATGCAAGGTTAAATATCAAATTTATCATATTTGAAAAAAGATCCCTATATACCGGACATGATCCCGCAAGTCATGATTCTTAAATAAAATATAAATCAAATGTTATGATTATATTTGTACATTAAAATAGTTGAGACCATATAAAAGTAATAGAATAAACTTTTGTAAATTTCTTTGGAAATATCCATAGTCCATTATTAATTAATTTTAATACATATATATATAAATTTATTTTTTAACTTCTTAAGAATTCTTAATATGTATATAAAATTTTATAAAAAATAATTATAAAACATTTTAAAGATATGATGCTGAAAGTTTTTCAACTAATTCAATATACGCCTGTTTTGCAGCATCTTTTGACATTCCTTTCTTTTCAGACCATGCACTCCATTTAGCTTTACCTTTTAAATCTAATAAACCTGGTTTTTCTGTATCATTATCACCAACAGTTGCTTGCTTAAATAATGCATAAATTTGTAATAATTCTTCATCAGTTGGTCGTTTTGTAAAAGTTTTCACTTTTTCAGCAGAAGCATTAAATTTCTAAAAAAAAAAATTAAATTTAAAATTAGATTTGTTATACAAATTCAATTAATTTATAATTAATTTTTTGAACTTTTAAATAGTTGTAAAATTAGAAATTTGATACAAATCTATGGTTACAAGCAAAAACTGTATAAGTTTAAAAGTTTTTTGTTTTTATATAAGTTTAAATTCTGTATTTAAAAATTTAATTAATATATTATCTATCAAATAATAATTCTACTTAGTTCCGATTAAGCAAAATTACTTTGGAAAGAAGTTCTAATAAAATAAATTGATGGTTAACTTTTTTTTAAAATCTGGTTGAAGTTTGAATATTTTGCAGTTTTGCTCATATATTCAATTTTGCTAAAATTTGATCAATGGTACACCTTGTTTGACTTTGAAAATATTATTTATAAAATATTAGAAAACTACAAACATATTTTGCAAATTAAATATAAACTTGGATCTTAATATAGAACAAAATATTTTTGTTTTAACTTATACAGTTTTTCCTTCCTCTAAATCACAAAAATATTTATAATTTTTATTATTATTTAATAATTAGAATTACCTCATCCAAAGACATTTTGAATTCTCTTTTAATATTAAATTACACCAAACTGAAAAAGAAATATAATACAAATTTTTAGTTAAATCTAATAAGAAACAATTTGAGTTAAAAAAAGATTTGTGAAAAATTTATAATTTTTATCATCGCACATACGAGTACTAAAACCATAAACTGCTACAACGCACCAAATTAAAAAAAAATTATACAAATTTAATCTCCAATATATCGAAAATCGCTAATGAATCACTAAAATATTTACAATCAATTCAAGAACTACAAGTATTTTAAAAAATGAATGTATCACCACTGTGCTTATAATATTCCAGATTTAAACGGAAGTTTTCCAAATATGTAAAGTTTCAATTACAAGTAAGTATGCAATTTGAATTTTAAATTTGTTTATTAACAAATAAGCGCTTGTTACTTAAATATTGACATTTTTCGTAGTGACTCTCTTTGTGTCTATGACCAATCCCACTTTTATACCACGTCTGCCAATATTATTTTCTGTTTTTTTTTTGTTACGTTATTTTTCTTTTAAATAATTTAATTTTTTTAATATTTTTAAGTGATAATATTTTTTTTTCTTTGATATTGCAGAAAAACAGGTGATCTTATTTGATTTGCAAAATTAAAGATATTTTTAAAAGTTTACTTTCAATTCATCTTTGTACCCCCCAAAGTGACATATAGATTTATAAATATATGTATGTATACAGATATGTTTATGTATCCATTATTTATTCAAATGCTATAAAAACTTTTTACTTTGGAAAAAAACAAAAAAAATGTCATACAAACGCAAAAAAAAATAAATTTAATAAAAAAAAAAAATAAAATAAAATTGAATTTAAAGTTTAAAGAAGAGAGAAGTTCAAGGTGAATTTATTTTGCACTCATTGCAAAAAAAATTTTTTTTATCCAATTTGTAGGTTAGCATGTCAATATTACAGTTGTTTTTTTTGTTTATTTGTGTTCTTGTATCAAATCTTTCGATTAAAATCGATTTTTTAATCTCATGGTAAACACTTTCTTTTTCTAAGATACGGTGAGATTTTAATTCATTTGAAATATGCAATTCCATAAGTAAAAATTGTATATTGTGTAAAATTTGGCACACGAATTCTAAAAACAGAACCAAAGCGGTGAGTGGCAATGTGGGCAGATTTCTGTTATTATCACAGAATAATAACAGAATGCCAAGATCAATTCTACAGTATTTTGCAGTTTTAATTTTTTGAAATTAAAAGTTGAAATGAATAAAATATCCAATTTCTTTTTGCAGGTCACGATGAAAATTAGAAAAGCTTAGTGTAACTATTTTATTAAATAATTTAAATCAAATTGAACATTAAATTATAAATAATTATAAAATACCTGACTTTTTAAAAATTATGAATCAAATCAAATAATTTTTATATTTTAAAATATTCCTCAACAAATACAATAATTCACAATTTTATAGAAAACCATACACTTATTTGATTCCAAACAAAAAGTTATAAATGACCGAGTTTATGGAATAAATTCTAATTCTTTTTCTTATACTGAATAAAAAATATCAACATAGTAAAAACGTTCATATAAAAATTTTTTCAACGCAACGTTCTTCTTTAACCTTCATTAATTTTGCAATCAAATGCTTAATTATTATTATTACTATTTTTTTTTTTTTACAACCACTTGTTTTACGTTTATTAAGCACCATAACCAATGAACTCAAAGTTTATGATCGTAAAGAAAAAAATATTAAATACTAAAATTAAATGAAAAATTCAAATTTTAATAGAAAAGAAAAAAAATAGAGACTTTACCTATTATTAAATATACGAAATGATATGAACTATTAGAAACTTTGAATGCGACTAAGCTCTAAAGTTAGTAAGTTAATAATAATATTATTTTATATTTATGTACATTTGTACACAACCATAGTACAGGAAATTTCAGTAAATCGCGCTAGCCAAATAAAAGAAATTTAAGAGATAAAAAAAAAAAAATGAATAATGCGATATTAAGCTGTACACGGTCTGTACTATGAGCTGATCGCAAGCAAACACAATCAAATTAATTCACAAACAAACACGTAGTCACATATAAAATGTACTTGATTTACAATTGAAACGAGGAATGTTGAAAATGATTATTTTTTATATAAAATTGTTAAAAGTTTTTGTTATTAAACCTAATTTTTTAAATTATTAAATTTTATTAAACACTTGAATAGCGCAGAAAGCTCGTAGCGGGTTTTATTAATAAGAAAGTGTGCAAGTTGTATTTTGTATATAAGAAAGTTCTTATTTAAAATTTCTAAAAAATATCTTGATTTATGTCGTACCAAAAAAGCTATTTAACATTAAATTATAAAAGAACTTGACTTATTCACAAATACAATTTCAATTGCCGAATAAGTTAAGCACATGTCAGATCTGTTTTGAAAATAATCATATAACGTAGTATTAGAAAAATTTGGAAAAAAAATTAACCTAGATAAGAATCTTCACTAAATCCCTCGTACTTATATTATCATTTTGGCCTTATCACCTCTTTCCGTGTGTTATTCCAATAATAATATTAATTTTAAATGTACATAGCGAAATAAAAATAAAAAAGCACACAATTACAGACGAACATAAGCTAAATCAATTGTTATATAATGAAAACTTAAATATGCATACCTGCTTTGAATATAAATTTTCGCGGTTTGAGAATAATATTTTCAGTTTAAAGTTTGGAATATGAAATTTGAGAAAAAAAATTTACAACTTCATATATAATAGTTTTGTTTAAAATAAAGAGAAAAAAAATTATTAGTCTTTTGAAATTATAGTAGAATTACATTAGAGTTACAATTGCATCTTAAGTTGTAGTTGTAATCAATTAATTCGTTTGTTTTAATGTAGTTGTTCTTTTGTTTTATTTTATTCTCATTTTAAAACGGGGTACAAATTACAAAACAATTATAATGTGTTGCAATATGAGGTTAATAATGTTGTGTGTTTTGTTTAATATTTTCAAAATCTATAAATATTTTAATTAAATTCATAAAGCAATAATAATTAACATGTAAATAGATTGTAATTTAATAAAAAATTCTATATCGAATACTATAAAATAAGTAGTAATTACTAGCTTATGATAAAGTTCTGAAATAATTAATTTTAACGTAAGAGATTAAACTGGTTATTCTTTCAATTTAAACATTTGGTTTTAATTTGCGAGCGTTCTATTATTTAAGATTTACTTTCATATTGCAACGCTATGCTTTTGTATATTTTCCAATTTATTTATTTAATTAAAAATTTGCTATATTAGACAACGAAAATGCTTTATTACAAATATAATATACAACTTTCTCCATAAATTCTGTGTAATCCAGTAAATTATCAAGTTTAATGGTAATAATAACTAAAAAGATAACTAAACAGATAACAAAAATAATAATTCTCCATGCAAAATACATAAAAGTGTTTAGAAGTAATAAATTTTTTATCAAAACTAACATTGAACACAGATATTGACGTACTCTTCTCCAACTCTACAGGATTGCAAATAAAAATTTTAATTAGTTTTTCTAATTATAATTGTCAGTTCATACATAAAAAGTTCTAACAATTATAAAATAATTAAAGAACAAAAGACCCATGAATGTTATTTAGCTTGAATTTTGAATTTATATTTAGTCTTTGGTTGGATAAATCGTAAATAATTTCCAAATTTGAAAATATTTTTTTGGTTTTCTCATTTCTAATCTCTTGCCTTTTCAATATTACAAATTAAATTACAAGTTTGGAATACCCATCATTCGATTGTAATTTGTAGTTAGCTCGACCAAAAAAAATAATTATGTATAATCAAAGAGTGATAACTATATTCAAATGGTTATACCTTTTTATTAACAAATTTATATTATACTTAATCGAAATGTTTGCCAATAAATAAATAAACAATTATGTTATAAATATAAAATTTCATTGCTACATGAATTACTGTAATATATTGAATGTCTGAATGACTCGTATCAAATTATCTTTATTTGAGTAAGACTAATGGGTGCATAAATTCGTGAAAACATGACCATTAAACTAGTATAATTAAAATAAAAGGTAAAATAAATAATCATAGTAAACCTTATAGGTACTAATAAAGATATGATAAAATAATAAACGTTAAGATTAATTTATTGCCTTTCCTACTTAAGTACACAGATATATTTGGACTTTTAACTTAAACACTGCATCCATATTTTCTATTTTTTACCATTCCTATTAATCTGGTCCTGGAAAAAGTTTAGCTCAAATTTAATAGTATGTCGAAAAACAAATGCATATATTATGCTACATTTGTTATATTCCGTAACTCAACAAAATATCGCATACATATTTTATTTTGCTTGCAAACCAAGGCTATTTTATCATTTAAATTTTTTTTTTTATCGTATTAAAAATATTTTTACGATTTGAAATTTTAGTGAGGTTTTGAACCATAATGCATTTGAAAAATTGTAATATTTTTAATAGTTTGTCTGTTTCATTCTCATTGTTTCAATTTAGTAAGATTTGTTTTATTCTCTACCACAAAATAGATGGCGCTCAATATACAATTTGTAATGGAAATTGTAAATTAATTTGTTCAAAACACGAACTCTTACTGCAGAATTAAAGTTTCAAAAATTTTAGACTGCAGAAACTTAATCTTATACAGTTGTCAAATAAGTGTAATAATTAATTGATTAATTACCTCATTTCAAATATATGTATTTATTTATTTATCTAATTACATATCTAAGGGTGCTTCTGACTCAGGCATAGTAACAACAGCTGCAATAAGTGGTTTTGTATTTCCTTTTTTAAGTATAAATATCCTAACAATAGCCTTTTCAACGGTCAAATCTGATGGTGGTAAGTGATCTATTGGATCTAATACTGCGTTTACTTCAAAGTCAATTTTCATTGGAATTCCCGGAATCAAAGTAGGTAACTAAAAATAATATAAAATAATTTCAAAATATTCGTAAACAAGTAGATGTATATGTATGTATATTGATTTACATTTGCTACTGCCTTAGGTAATTGATAATGATTTTTATCTGCATGCAATAACACCGTCAAAAATGTGGCTGGTTTCGTAGTTGACATATTTTCAATAGTTAAAAATAAACGAAATTGTGGTCCAACTCCACAAATTTCTGCTGCTAATTTAATTGGGGCATGTTTCGAGTCTCCAGATATTGTACTCTCTGATGTACTTATAGCTTCAACTGTAGCTTTAGCAGCTGTTAATCGTAACCGCCATAATTCAACTTGAAAGTTACCATACATTGCTGCAAAATAAATATTAAAATAAGTAAGTGTAATTTTATTTTTATAAATGCAAAACCTTTTGCATTCTCTTTTTCTCTTATAGTTTGCTCAACAAATATTGAACTTTTTTTAGGAATATCCAATTTTGGATTTTTTGTTAGCGACGTATCAGAGAGATTTGTTTTACTTCCACTTAATACGTCAGCGGCTTCAAAATTTGCAGTTCTTTTCAAAATTTTTACTAGCAAAGAGCCATCTTCAAGTACTAAACTAAGACAATGCTCTTCTTGTCCTAAGTGACCAAATATCATTGCTTGTACAGTGTTTTCCAAACGAAATTCATCAACGACCATTCTCTGTGAATACAATTGAACTAGACCACCTTTTAAAGCTACAGCAATTAGAGTCATTGCTAGATGTGGCAGGTGAACTGGAGTCATACATATTGGTGCTTCAACCAAATCAACCGACCACAGTTTTTTCCCTTTTTTTGAATAACAAGTTAAAGTGTTTGTCATTCCAGCTGCAACAATAGTTTGATCAACAGGTAATAGAACTAATCCAATAGCAGGTTCATCGATGCGTATAATTTCTCTTCCCTCAAGCCAAGATTTTCTTAATAAATACAAAGCACCTTCTCTACTTGCTATTACAATTCGAAAATCTGTATCAAATTGCCCGCTAGCTGTGATTAAACTAGGAGTCGTTTCATATGGACAAATTCTAGCCTACAATGACGGTAAGTTTATTTTTAATACAGTTAATTGGCTCGCTGTTAATACTTGGTATATTATTCCAAAACTATGTGTATCAATCATTAATATTTCACCATGCTCAGTAGTTAAAACTAGGCAAGATGGTGGATTAGAATCACTTGATGTCCGCTGTAAGGAAGTCATAGCCGTTATAACAGACAATCGTTGTAAGGGAGTATCCGCATACTTTTTAATATATTCATCTCTCTCTTCAACTGGCAAATTCAATAATTTCTGCGACTGTACAGTTAAAATCGATGCATCAATAGAGGCTAAATTTTCGATTAAACTTTGTTGATTTGATGGTTTTTCGATTGGTAACTAAAATAAATAGCAATTAATGTAGTACAAATAAATATACATATTTATTTCTACGAAATTTAAATACCCTGCGCCAAACGTCAATTTCTAGCGGTTCGATTGTCATTTCAGGTAACGTAAATTTGTAGTACGGTTTCAAGTTTCGATAAAATAAAACAGATGAATAAATTGAGACTGCTATTACTGTAAATGAAAAATAATTTATTGTGATAAAATTAATGAAAAATATCTACATATATTAGTATTTATAATTACTAGGAATTTTTGGTTCCGGCTCGTCGATATAAAAACTTTTTACGGACGATGGTATACCTGGCAGACCCTGTTCACTTACCATACCAGTGCCTTTATACACTTTTAATTTAGCTCGCCCTTTGAAATCCTTTGGTATATCAACAACTATTAACTTGGAATATTTATCATTTTTTAAATCACATAATGTTAATAGTGATGGCAAAGTATAAAGGCAAGTTTGCTGTTCTGAGTAAGCATTCAACCATTTTGTAGGCTTCATTTTATCTAGAATATTGAGAAATAGTTTTAGTTACATGAATTATTGGACAGGCATATGGTTGTAAAAACTTGTAAATTTCTAGTATCTTAAATTAATGTTATGGCGCAAGAACCATGTTTATATTTCCTTTCCACGACAGATTTTTGTTTTTTATTTCTATTGCAAACAAGAACAAGAGCAGTTCTATGATTTTTTCAATCTAGGATTTATCTTTAATATATACGTAATTAAAACTTAAAATTACAAGTATATTATTACATTTTTTTTATTGATTTGAGATCACCTGCAAAATTTTTCACCTCGTATAGAGTGTTTTTAAGAGTTTTTCTGTTCAATTGCTTTTCAAAACAAATAATTATGTTTATCGTAGCAACGTTTTCTTATCAGACTTGCGCAATATCATATATTTTAGGACGCGGAATTATAAATGCAACAATTTTTTAAAGGAAAATCGCTTTTAATTAAAGATAATTTTTTGTTAAAAAAATTTCAATATCTCAATAAAGTACGGTTTCTTTAAAATCAGTAATAACTTTTAAGTTTTATTAACATTAAAAGAAAAAGAAAATAGATAAGCCTTTCATCATCATAAAAAATTGTGCGTTTTTGACATGTGATTGCTTCATTATAACTTCAATCTATTGCAGGTTCAATAGAAATTTTTAAGAGTATGTCTTTGCATTAAATTATATTAGTCTGTTGTATGATTCGAATTTCGAAACACACATATTTGTTTACTTAGCTAATTTTAATTAGAAATCAATAATAGGCATAAGGCAAAATTTAAGACAGAAGAATAGGTGGAATTTTATTATTCGGTAGAACTTGGGAAACTGTTTTTTCTAATACTGCATGATCTATTATGAAAGAAACTTTTGCCATTTCCATTCACAAATTTGACTTCCTTTAAAAAAAATACTTAAAAACAAGGGAACACAGGAAAGTTTACAAATTTTTTCAAATTTATTTTCAGCCGTCACTTAGTTTTCCATTTGTTTAGATTTTTTGGTGTTCGCTTTTTTTGATGGTACTATTTAATCAATTGTGTCATGGCATTAAAATTACCAAACTACATTATATACTCCACTTTAACAATACTAAAAATTTGACGTATATGTTAAACTGGCCCATGGCAACGCTTACAAAAATAACAATGTTTTTAGAGCCAAACAACGCAGAATGAAACTATTTTAAAAACACGATTGCACTAAAAGAGAGTGCATTCTAACGCTATAGATAATTTTAAATATCTTAATAGTTTAACTAACTTAATAAAATAAATAAATTATGTAATGTTGTTAGGAATAAAAAATACTGCAAAACTTGTATATAAATAAATAAATATTATATTTTAAGTTTATAATACATACATATGTAGATAATTAAAATATTGCTAAATAAACTTGCAGTTAGTTTCGAACGAGAATATTGTATTTTAAAAAAAATATATTTTTTGTCATTTACCTAATTTGAAAAATCGATGTTTTGTCATCAAAATACTAAAAATAACAACTTGTTAGAAAGTTTTCAAGGGTAAGTAAAACATTTCCATAATTTTTCATTCAAAATTATTTTGTCCAAGAAAAACACTTTTATAAAATATTTTTATTGCAGATTTTCATTTCTCCTATTGAAAACTTATAGAAAATTTGTACAATGTTATCTAAATGTCAATAAATTTAAGTATGATAAGTGATAACGTTAATATATGCAGCGCGTGCTATAGGAATTCTAATACTAAAAATTTCCACAATTCTTTTTTTAATTCTAAACGACTTAATTTACATTGAAGGTCACAGAGATTCAAGTACACTTATTTCATTCTAAATAAAAAGTTCATGTTTGAACTCAATAAATTCGAAATAATTATATAATCGCTATTATAAAAAAATTCCAAAAATTCTTTTTAAAACTTCTAATTAATTAAACAATAATATTAAAGTTTTCTTTGGCTATAATATTCAACTAGGGTGTTTATAAAATTTTCCATTTATTTCAATAACAGTTAAGATTATAATTTTATTTTATAAAATTTTGGGCACCATTCATTCCAATAGTTGTTATATAATTATTTTCTGTTAATTTTATGCAATTATTACAGTGAGAAAATTAGATGCGCTCATATGTGGACGCATGTATGTAAATAAGAAAATTTTTTTTTATTGTTTGTATGACAAAGTCTAGGCTAACATAAAATTTATGTATGAATTTGTTTTTAAATTGCTTTGCCAGAAAATAAATAGCATAATTTAGCCATTCAACTTAAAAAACAAAATACAATGAATAACAGCTTATGGTATATTTCTCACCGATTTACACAATATGCTTTTGTTAATTATAGAAAAATGTTGACAAACTTGAATTTTCCCTCTTATTATCCATACAATTTCTCAAATCAAGCAATCATTATTGCTATTGTCCTTAAAGTAAGCGAAAAATTTTTTAAGTTCATTTACTAAAATTTAGTGCATTTTGTTGTTTGTTTATAATTTTTAAAATTTAATTAAAGATAGTAAAATTCATAAAATTTTAGACAAGAAAAAATATAAAAATAGTTATTTTCAAATTTAATTATCTTACAAAAATTCACAATTGTTGAATATGCTTGTAAAATTCAAGTAATTGTTGCTGTAAGCCATACAGAAAATAAAAGAAGTTGGTGCTAAATTTAATTTGACATTATTGTTAAATTAAAATGAATAGATTTGTAGGATTAAATTTGGTATTGAAATACTAAGTTCCTCTCCGTTTTTCTCCCTTTTCCCTAAACATTTTCCTTTATGTTTCAAATGATTCAATTGATGCTATTATTGGAACTTTATCTAAGAAATTTGGTAGCATTAGATTGTTATTTTAGATACAGAAATTTAGATACCTTTTCCTGTGATCACTTTTAAAGTGCCATCCAAATTAAATGATATCACGTATCTTATTAAATGATTAACCACGTTTCTGAAAAAAATTATATTATAACAAAAAAACAATAAGCTATCAGTTGGCAAAGAACTCACATTCAAATCTTAATAACTGTTTTTGAAAATGATGCCTCTGTTTTTAAAGTCATAGTTAAATTCACCCGAAATTCGATATTCCGTAAAAGTAACTATAATGATTTATTACGGCATAGACATTGACTTCCAAACAGAGTCGCGAATTTTTAATACCTTTTGAATCTCAAAAAATTTCTCTGATACAATAATATGAATATATTTAATGAAAACTAATCTTAATTTAGGGTGTACACACCCTACAAAAATATAATTTTTATAATTAAGAAAAAATTTATAACACACTAAGCAGTATTTGTATTATGAAAATTCGAAGTTAAATAGTTAAAATTAAATATCTTGCATAAGATTCCATATAATCACGAACACCTCATTACTTTTTCTCCTCAAATCCAATGAAAACAGCTTTAAAATCATATACAATACTTTATGAATCAATGAGCTGATGAGTAAATTAAGGTAACTATGTTAAAGTGAAATGATCACATAACACTTATAGTAATGCATTAATTATTCCCAATTCAAAAGTTATTTAAAACTTTATATTAATAAAATTATAGATGTACAATTAAAATTAATAATAATAAGACTTAGTTTGAGGCTATTACAAGTACAAGTTTTGCGATCAGTAATATTTAAGATGACTAATCGTATTGTTGGGTATTTTGTAATAATATTGTATGTACACTTTACTTTCATCACATACTATATATATGATTCTATGCATATTATCCACTGGACAACCATTATATTATAATATAATCTATTGTGCTGCACCATTTATCAACATAAAAAACAAAATAAAGGCCATAACACAATATGCACTAAAAGTAGGTACTTATTTAAATTTTGTCTTTTCGAAAAATTTCATAATTTTTAATGGATACAATTTAATAATAGCATTTTTATAGAATTTTAAGGCACTAAATTAGTAGCACCTTTTCCAATAATTTATATTGTGAATATGATTAAGGACGAATCAATAAGTAATCATTCTTAATTGGTCAATTTGATACCAACACTAAGGAATAGTTAATATTATTCTAAATGCATTATGAGAAGTAATTTCTGCAATTTAAAACAGAATCTTCCGCCAATAAAATGACACAAGCATAAAATAAGATTGCCCCAAAGATAAAATGTACCTGTTAACCTTTTACTCTTGAAAATGATAGTTTTCTGCATTTCATTTTTATTATTGAATTTCCAGACCACAAGACGTAGAGTATGAGTCACTTTTGTAAAATTCATAAAATATATGAGAATCTTTATATAATTAGTAGTGCTACTTGTTTATTACTGGTTTTTAAATGGTAAATGGTAAGGGTCTATGTTTAGTCATCAACATTTTAGTAGAACTGCAATTATCTATGCTTATATGCTTGTGGTGAATATTTTTGTTGATGAAAAAGAGAAAAAAGAATACTGAAATACCGGTTTGTAAATAAAGATAAAAAGTAACGTAAGACTAGCGATAAACACATGATTGGTTTGCAATACAATGATTTATTATATACTCCTTGGTTAGAAATTGTAACTTTCTAGTTTAATCACTTCCTTTGTTGATTTTCATTAAATAAATTGTTAATTGATTGTGTCCATTCTCATTTACATACCCAAATCTTTCAATTGCTAACTGACAAATTAAACAAAATAATAGTGGTGGAAACTTAATATTGCTTTAACTAGTAATAATAATATAAAATTTTTAACCTAAATCGTATTCTTAATATTTATTTATGAAATTTACAAAATTCCTAACATTTTCTATTTGGAACATTTTGTTGGATGTTACAAATGTTTTTGTGTATTAATGCTGTTAAACTCTTGAATGCTAAGTACTTTACTGATCAAAATTCCTTATTCAAACAGAATTAATAATGAGAAACTTGTAAGAGACTTTTAAATTTCTTATATCTCAAAATTTTATGTAGAGTATTCGAATAAAACTAAGAGACCAGCGCAAAGATTCTCGGTTGAATATATCATATGAATTATTATAATACTTTAGCATATTTTACTTGGAAATAGATACAAATCAGGTCTCTACTATTATGAATTTTTAAACTGGAAAATGTTTGATAAAAGGGAATTTGCACAAGCTGGGCGAATACTGCGGTGAGAGTGACATGTACATTTCTTGTAACCGGCATTAGGTCGCTGATGGTGTAATAAGCTTTAACAGGTTTCTCTTGATTATAATTGATTCTCGTCATCCAATTTTCAGTCTTCCGAATCTTGTTTTGCATCAAATGGGATTTGTTTACAGGCAGAACAATCCGTTCCCTTCCTACATCTACAATATATAAGAATTTTATATTAGAATTTTAAACTAGAATATTCAACTGTAGTATAGTGTATTAATTGATAAGCAATTTACCTTAAATTATCGGACAAGTTCTATTATATCTGTCCAATTTCCATCAATTATTGAGCGACCATTCACATATAAGTAGATTGAAAGCTTTTATTCGTAAAAACTAAAAATCCGAATGACATGAAAACTTGATTCGATGAAGTTGAAACTAAATTAGAAATAGAGCCAATTTCTTTTCATTAAATTTAAATGTTTTTGCTTTCATCTTTCATTGACGTTTATTTGGGTATTTTAAAGCTTGATTTGCGATCGTATATTGCTTATTTTTTATTAGTATAATAGGATTTTGTATAACAAGCGATTTCTTTACACATGTGCTAACATTTATCTTTGTATGTATGTTTATATAAACATATTTATTGTGTATCTTGAGATATATGGTAGAAATGTAAGTGTGTTTTAATTTTATAGTGAACATTGTGAACATTGATAGTGAATATTTTCTCTCAAATTTCTTATTGGAAGCGAAAAATAAGTAAAACGACAAAGAAATCAGCTAAAGTAAGTCAAATTAAACTTCAAAATTTCGTTATGAAGTCAATCTTAAGATCCTGTAAATACAATTGACAACAGTCGTGAACAGTTTTCGTTATTTTGTTCAATTTTCCCGATATTTACAAAATTTATTAAGTTAAATTAACTCAACATTTCCTAGAATATATTCATGATACACAAAAGCCGCTTTTCTATACAAGTTGAAGACATTTCTAGTATTGCACAAAATGGGTCAACTAGCTGAAAGTATTTATTTATTTATAATTACATATTTCAAAAATTTGGCTTAAGTTAACTATTTAAGAGTTAACTATTTATTAGCTCAAAAGAACTTTTAAATTATAAGGAACGTAAGGTAAAGAGAATTTTGAGAACATAAGAACAAGATGATGTCAGAAGAAACCGCCAGCAGTAAAATAGGAGTTTAGGCGGTTTAATTCAGGCAGTAATTTTGCTTCAATCTATGGTAATTTAAATATGTGTACTCTATATTAATTCTAACATTTCGCCACGCAAAATCACTCTTGTTTTGTTATCAACTTAAGTTTGGGAGTTTAAGTTTTACAGTTCTTAATGCATCTTTTATTTTAGTGCTTTTAATTTCACTGTTATTCCCATTTTACTTATTTTTTTTTTCTCTTATATTATAAGCTAAATATGATAAATTGAATAAATTTTCAATTTTATTGTTTAGAAGTTCAATAGAGTAGATATAATGACAATACAAGATACGGTACACGTTTTTGTTTATGTATGGTTAATATAGTAAGTATAGTATGCATTTGTGAATATGTATTTGTAAATAAATATTTAAATAAAAAAAAAATAAAAAAAATATCAACTTCTCATTTCATATTGTAAAAAAAACTTTAATAATTTTTTTAGTAAAATAATATTTTTGTTGTATTTAATATGTAGCTTTTGTATTTATGATTAGGTTTTGTTCACTGCCGAACATCAGTATTGATTATTTCGCGATCGCTTTAACATTAATATTTACAAAAAATAAAATTTCGCGGATGATTACTCATAAGATCGCGTATTTTGAACGTTTTATATTTTCATATTTATTGAGTGTAGTGTGTTTGTGTACAAAATTGTTAATTTGAATTAAAAATAATTTTATTACAACATTTTTTACATATCTTTTTTGTTCATCTTTTAATTAATTAAAAATTCTGTATCATACATACATACTTAACTTATATGTACATACAATTATTTTATCTAATTACATACATTAATACTTAAAAGTTTTACTTAAATTTTTATCTGAATATTGAGAATCATACATTCATACATATATCCATACATTTACCTACTTACTTGAAAAGAAAGAATGTTTTGTGTACTTAAAGATAAAGAATATTTTATTTATGTTCTATAGATAAAAGTGTAAATATTTGTATTGAATAAAATAAAGAAAATAAAGAAGTGAATTATATAAAGACTCTATTTTGTTCAAATGGGAATAAATTTTAAATTTATGAATTAAAATATAAGGCATAAAATCTAATTTAGTGAATTTTCTTGTTATACAAAGTGAATTTGAAATTTTTAATTTTATGGAAAATAGCGCCTTTATATGAATAGTGTTATTACAAAAATTACAGTGAATAAACAAATTTTAAAGTGAATAATTATTAACAATTATAATATTATTAAAATTCAATAAATTCTTGGTTGATTTAATTAAAATAAAAAATATTTTTCATTATTTTGAAAAACAAACAACATTTGAGGAATACAATTCTACTTTATTGCCTAATTTTTGAGGATTATTATTTTTGGATTAATATTTCATTTTCATAACTATCAAAATGTAAGTCAAATATAAGAAGTTTATTATATGTACATACATATATTAAGATTTTTTATTTAAACTATAAATTAAACACAAAATTTTTAAGTGCTTTTTACCTTTTTCAAAAACATTTTCATATACAGTAAAAGCATGATCAACTTGAACTTGTTGGCCATAAAATTAAAATAATTGTGAAATGAAAAAATAAAAAAAAATCTTGATCGTAACGTAATTTATGTCATCATAGAACGTATTTATTTTTAATTTTATGTACATAATTATATCGAATATTTAATATTGATTGATACCTTAACCACATTTTTTAAATATTGCTATTTTTATGTATGTATGTGCTACACATATAAAAAATTTTACAAAAATAATAGTAACATTGTTGGTATTGGCCTCCATTATGGTTTTTTTTGCTTGCTTTAATTCTAAAATAATTAAACTTTAATAATTAAAAATAAGAAGGTGAACGTTATTGATGTATAGAATTGAGACCATGTGATCGATCAAAACTTTTTAAAATATCTTGCATCAAACTTCATTTTATTACATTTTGTTATGTGTCATGTAAAATATTGAAACTCACTGTGTTTTTAATTAAATTTTTCAAAAGAAAGAAATTTTTCAAAAAAATTTCAAATGAGATAATCCGTATTAATTTTTATAGTTCAAAATTTCTTAAGGATTGTATAAATTTTCAATGTTTTAATGCATTTTAAAAGTCAAATGCGAAATATTCTTTCGCTCATATGTAAGACTGCCAAAAAAATATATTTACATAAGTAAAATAGGAACGGACAACAAGTAATTGTTAAAAGTTTATGATTTCGCTTATATCGAATTTTTGACATGCTATTTAATTAAATGGTGGATGATAAAGTGGAAATGCCGGTGATCACAATGATTGAAAATGTGAATGAAAGTCATTTATAAGTTTTGTAATTTGTCATTTGCAAATCATGACTAAAAAATGCAAAGCAATTTTTTTTAACTTATTACGTGGCTATTTAAATTTTATTCTTAAATTTTTTTTTTAATAAAAATATGCTTAAAGAGAAAAATAACATCTTTAGTTTATATTTGTACTTATTTTCATTTTTTTTTTTTTTGATAATTTTGTTGGATAATTTTCCATAATCAGTAATTTTTATAAGAACTTACTTGCATATATATTCTCGAATGTATTAAAATGGTAATGTAACTCCAAATGAATATTGAGTCGTTATGCAAAGACTGCACATCAAATTACTCTCCTCAGCTGTGAAATAAGTGACTTCATTTATTTCTACTTTCCATTAAGCTTGTCTTTAAAAAATTATGTTGTAGCTAAAAAAAAAAACAACGATTAATGATTTACTTAAAATAAGTTTTACTTCAAGCATTTTTAAAATATTTACAATTTTCAAAATATAATATGTATCCTATGTATACTAAATTAGCATTTATTTATATTAATTTAAATTATGTCTTAGAAAGTTTATTATTTTCATTTTTAACATATAGACTTAATATCTCTTACTTGGCGAATACACATCCGTTTATCATATTTATTAACAAATAACATAAAAAATAACATTGCGGAAATCCCATTATGATTTGCTAATGAAAACGAATAGATATATATGTATGAAGGCATATATACGTATGTATGGTATGAATCAGATCTTGAACTACTATTCATTCATATATGAAAAGCGTGGCATTTTCGAGCATTTCCAACTCAACGTTTCTTTTTATTTGTGAACGTATCAAAATTATTTAAATAAATAAATTATTTTTAACTTTTAATTTATTTGTAACAGCTATGACTCGATCAGTGCTATTCGTTTATAATAACAGAATTTTTATTTTAAATGCAACAAATTTAAAGCTTTTTTAAAATTAAGAAAATAGTAGTTCGCTTTTAACTACTATTATAGCCATTACTCCATTGCTTATGCACACTAACATTTAATTAAAAAATTTACAAACACACCTGCATGGACACTTTAATTAAATTACGCACATATAATTATGTATACAAATTCATATACAAATATAATTTTATTGTTAATTTAAGTACATATAAAAAGTTAATCATGTTTTGTAATCATAATTTTACACATTTACTTATAAACAGATGCAATCGACAACCAAATAAGCTACAAATAACCATTATTATCAATAATAATATTGAAGAACAATTGTAAATATTGACATTGAATTCTGTTTTATACTTGTAAAATAAAAAACGATTGAACTGAATTCCACTCACGAATTTAATTGTCTTAAAATTTTTAATTTACACATTTCATTAAAATAATGAAAAGAGAGGGTTTTCTTTTTAGAATAATTGGTGATTCCAAACCAAAACAAACTTTATATGGAATATCTTTTGTAAAATTTTTATTTGGTTTTTATGGTAGTTGATTTTAATGTTCTGAAAGCAATTAGAGGTGTCACTTCTATAAAAAAAATTTTCAAATTTAAATTTTGAAACATTGAAGAAAATTTTATTAATTAGAAATTGGATTATTTTGTATTAACATATTTAAAATAATTAATCGTAAAGTTTAACTTTCTTTTAACCTTAGAAAAAATAATTAAAACAATTAATTCTACACAAAAGTTGCCAACATGAGAGACAAATTTCATACACATAAAATACTTAATTATAGAAAACTATATGTTGACTATATGCAACTGTAAAATTAAAAAGTTCAACAAAGTTCAAATAATAAAATTAAGTAATCATGGGAAAAAGTTTATTTTAATATTTTAAACTTAATTTTTATTTCTTCTTCTTTTAATTTTTGATTGTCTTTGATTATATGAATATTGATATGGTGGTCCAAAAGTATAATTCCACACATATTGAGCTACATATTATATATGTATACATATTTCGAAAATACAACAGAGAAAACGATATACAACAAACTAATGCAACTTGTTAAAATAATGTATGCCTATTAATCTGGTCCTAACTCATTGTTATACGTATTTAAAATCCCAGCTATTTTATACATGATTCTTTTAAAAGTGTTTCTTTGAATAAGCATATTTTCAATTAAGAAATGTTTACAAAAAAAAAAGCATCAAATAAGTAATAGTTAATCGATTATTTTCAAATTTATAATCATTTAAGTGGGTAGAGTATGAAATTTATCTACATAAGTATGATAAGATAGGCAATTTATGTATTTGTTGTTAAATTAAGGCCAAATTAGGTGTATTTTGAGAAATCGTATTGGTTAAAATAATTTTTATATTAAAATAATTAAATTTCATTAGATTTTCAAGCAAAATTTTCAAGAAATTCAAAAAATTAAAGGGAATTTCCGAAACTTATGATTTTTATCATTGTTTTGAAGATAACATTCATTATCATAAAGGTTACCTAGTACCTATTATAAGGCTATAAAAAAAAGAGGTAGGTATATTACTCACTTTCTGTGGGTTCGTACAAATGTCTTTGTGATTAAAACTCAAGAAAATACTTCTTAAATCTAGTTAGTCGATAATTGATCAAAAATTAAAAAATTTCAAATTATAAAATTCATTGTGAAAATTAGAAAATATTTCTTTATAGTACGTGTCGCGTTACCGCAAACTAATAGCATCATGATTTTCTTCTGAACTTGCGTTATTAATAGTGATAAATTTAATGAATCACATATGAGTCGTAATCGCTAATAACTAAAAATAACAAGCAGAATGAAGATAAAATGCTTTAGGAATTGGATATTTTACATACACAAACAGTTCTTATCATTTCTTAACAAAAGGGACTATCGAGTTTGCAGATTTTTTTTTTCTTTTTAAGAAATGTGGTAAATTTTTTTGTTGCGATTTTTTATACTTGTAGAACAACTCTCTTAATAAACAATCGTACTGGTATCACGCAACAGGTTAATCAACCTTTCCTTTTCTTTTTTACATGATTTTATTTTCAAACTGTAATACTCCACACCGGTTGTTAGACGCACTATATAAATTTGTCATTATTTTTAAATTTTTTCTTGTACTTGCTAGATTTTCATTAGTTTTAAATTTTTGTCTACATATTCTTGTTATTTAATTTAGTTATATAAGATATGTAATTAAGTTAGAACAAGTTTGACTTGATGAATTTTCGTGTTCCTACAACGCAATTAGTCTGAAAGTAAACATAAACCACATACTTTCCGGTATAACGTAGACAAAATTATTAATTTAGAGTCAAGTGCAATAAAAATATCAAACTACCGTATCAGTATTTTTTCCATTATTCTTTGTTTTATTCGCCCAAAAGATTAGAGACAGTTATTTAGTCAAATCAATGTAGGCATATGTTTTAACCTTGAATTTAATTATAATACCACTCTTAAACAAGAAAGTTCATTAAATTTTGAGGAAACTATGTTTCTATGGATGTCTTCTTTTTACTACATACATATAAATGTATTTAATACGAACATATGTAATTACATTGAAATCTTCTGATCTAAATTAATAATTATATTATTATTAATGTAGAATATTGGTATTTGCCTTCATAATAATATTATGTTTGTGTTTTGCCTCCACTATAATGAAAATAGTTCAACCAACATTGTCGAATTTTGAAAAACTCAAGTTTTAAAAAAAGTCTACGTACGTATTAATTATTTTCAAAAAAACAAATTGCTCATGAAAAAATTGATGAATTGTAAAAAAAAAAAAAAAAAAGACTTTTATATTTAAATGTCGGAGTCGGGTTCTTAAAAATGCAAAACAAAATCTTACGAAACATGAGACTAATTAAAATATACAGGAAATTCGAGTTTTGTTTATCATTGAACTCATTTGTTTCTCATAAACATTAAGAAATATGTTTATCAAAAAATTTATAAAGTATTTTATATATATCAACATACATTCATATACATACGTATGTAGACATACATATTCATTACATGCCATTGCAATGATAATATTATTTTGCATGGAACTCAATTAGTTTAAAAACAAAGTTGTGTGCACACAAAATACTTAAACATATCGAAATACATCGCTAAAATCTACTAAATCCTAAAGTGAATTGTTTACGAAATTTATATAAAAGGATACACTTTAAAATCCAAAAGTTCTACCATATTAACAGGAAATATAAATAAAAAATAGATCTTACGTAGTATCTGCATTGTACGTAGTTTTTCTTTTGTTGCCTGTAAATAGTAAGCCTAGTGAAGAGACTGAGGTTTGGCTTTGTAAAAATACTATTCTAAAATATACTATGTGTTATACTTACATATGTATGAATCTATGAAACATCGAGTGTTTATGAACCATTTTGAGGCCCCTAATTTCACAAAAAAAGCTTTAAATCAAATTTAAATATTTTAAATATTTCTCAACTTTTTAAAACTCATTTATATTAAATTCTACAAAATTCCTGAAGTACGTACCTAACTATGTATCTTACGATAAATTCAAAAAAATTTCTATTTTTAAAAATCCCATTTAAAAATTCCGAAAAAAAAAAAATCCGAAATTTTAGTCGTTCTAGTTAAAAAGTTTAAGTACATTTACAACTAAATTGTAAAACACAAAAGAAGAATAACTTCAAAGAAATTGTAAAAATTTTGGTTCATTGACATCTTAAAATTATATTTTGAACACATAAAAATTCTAAGCAGAAATTATAGAGATACACGGGTTTAAAATAAAAATATTGCAAAACTTTAAAAATCGTTAAACACAAAATAAAAATAAATGTATTTTTTGCGTAAATAATGCCCAAAACGTGTAAAACTCTTAAAATACATACATACATAGGTAGTAAATGCCGTACAACTTATTTTTATTCAGGTGTTTACTAATACTTTTTAAAAATTGACTGAATTTACAGGTAGGTAGGTATACAATGGGTTCATATAAGTATAGAATATTTTACCAGATCGTATCTTCACCGCTGACCTGTAAAATGATACATGAATGTTCGAAAATAATACACAAACAAAAACCTAATTTGGCACAGCTCTACTAGTAAAAAAAAATGTGAGAGTAAGCGCTTAAAAACGAATCAAAATGTCGCTCCAATATTCAACGGAAATTACAACTTTTTTTCTGTATTTAAGCTTTTTTTTTAGAAAATACTTTTAAGTATGCTAAATAGTATATAAATATATAAGTATATTAGTTTATTTAGCAATGCTATTCTTAGCTCATCTTAAAATCTAAAATCTTTGTGATAATTTCCATTGTGTTACAAAAATGGTTACACAAAAGTGAAAAGTGTATTCAAGTGAAACTTTTGTTTTGCTTCAACAAAAAATATTGTTCGCCGTTATTTAAGGAGGCTAGACATTCAATGATAATTAATATGTACATACATACATATTTGCAATATCAAACATTGATTTTGTTTTTTTACACCTAAAAGAATAATGAAATATAGTAAGTTGTTATTTTACTCAATATTCTTTATGTACTTTTGTATATGTATGTATATGCATGTAATTAAGAAACAAAAATATTAGTTATACTACATACCTTAAATTTAGCGAACATATTAATTTAACTTTTTTTTGCTCATCAGTATTAAATGTATGTACGTAGAAAACTGTAGACATAACTGTAATTGCAAAGTTTGAAATTCTTCATATGTCAAGCCAATTCAAACGAAAACTATTAATTTAGCACCAATCCAAGTTTAATCACTTTTCCTCAGAAATTTTTGGTAAGCTTCTTTAAAAAAAGTACCTTGTTCCGTAATTCTAAGTGTTAATTTTGCTTATCATTTAATTCTAATTATTCAAATATGTAAGAAGTATAAAAGTAATTTTTATATCTTTTAATCTTTAATATAAAAAATTCAAAGCACTACTTAATAGTTGTCAATGCCTAAAAAATCGCGTAATGCTATGTGACATTTAATAAACAATAGTGCTACCGCATATGCAATTTAAGCACGTAAGGTGCGTTTCCTCTCACTGCCCAAAAGTCCGAACAAAATAATTTTTATACTATAATCAACTTACAACTGTAGTGTAAACAACTGTAATTGTAAGTTGATTATATGTAATAAGAAAAATTTTCGATTTCCTTTTGTGTACCGAAGAACTGATATTTTAATAAACACATAACCTAACAAAGTATGTAGTTTGGCTTTAACCTTCATTCAAAAGTTAATTTTTTTTACCTCAAAAAAGTGATGACAGAACTGTCAGGCGATTTCAGTTTTGCATATGCGTTAGTTAAAATGAAATATTTTGATTGGTTAAAAATATTGTCTGAATGCTTGGACATTGAGGGGAAATCCACCTGCATGTTTACTTTGGCCATGGAACGTTTTCAATTTGACCAATAAAGTTATTTATTGAATAATATTTTATAAACAAGTGTCCAAACAAAATGAAGAAGTTTTATACATAATTATGTTCGTTATTGGAAATAGTAGAGTAGAAGATCAAATCCATGAGAATTCTGAATTATGAGAGAAACCCACATGACTAACTCTTATCTGACACGAATTGAAAGACACAATCGTACATGTACTTTAATTTTTACACCAACTATTTGAAAGTTTTATAAAAAATTTAATGAATTTCAGTGAAGGTTTTTGGCATTTATAAAATTTCAAATTTTATATTTTGATTTAAAACCGTTTGATCGTTATTTATTATGACCTTTATTCACAAATAGATCACAACTCTCTCAAAATTTTTGGATTTTGTACTTTCATTTTTCATTACTCGCACATTGTTTTTTATTTTATCTTTTAAGTTTTTATTTCGCAGCTCAGTTTTTATTGTTTGTTGTTTTTTTTTTTGAGCTTATTGGTCTTTGTGTGACAACAATTCATTTGCGATAATAGCGAAATTTCAAAAAGACAAGAGAAATTTTCAAAAAAAGTAAAGTTGAATGCAATTTCAAATGCAACTTGCAGCATATTAAAAGTAAATGAATAATTCACAGAATAAAATGAACTTTCATTTGCAAAAATAAAATAAAAAATCTTTAAAATAAAACAACAGACGTTTCATTTACTGTTATTTTTGCCTTTTTTTTGTAATTTCTTATTTTATAAATGCTGCTTATTTAATTCACTTTCCCAAAATAAATTTACCCTTATCAATTTACTTACCTGTTAAGGTAAAAATAAAAAAAATAGAGAACTGGTTTTAAATATTACATTATGTATGATATTTTTTTCTTTGAAGCCGCGGTAATTCATCACACAAAGTTCACCAAAATATTACAGAAAATAAAAAAAAAATGAATGAGAAAAATTACAATAAAATTATCCAAAAAAATAAACATAATTAAAAATCTTTTTATTATTTTTAAGCATAACAAAATTTTGCACGTTTTTTTAACGCCGGAAAAATGATTTTAATGATAAGGTTGAAATGATCGTGAGTATTAATTGCGAAATGTCAAAATACCTTTAAAATTAAGTTCTGTAACGATCATGCAACATAATTAATAGTAAGAATTGCAGTCTAGCTTAAAAATTTTCATAATTTGAGTTTTGAAACACATTTTTTACCAAAAATTTGTAAGATGCCACTTAAGCAATGTAGTACAACCACATTTAACGTCAAAATCAGCATTAAAAACTGTGTGTGGCTGCATAAGTCAAAATGACGCCAGATCTGAAATGACGTAGTAAAGCAGTATTAGGTGTTACAATTTTAAAGTCACGGTTGCGCCATAACTACATATGTAGTGAATTTTTTTATATTCAATCTTAAGTATTTCTAAATTTTTAAATTACAAATTAAAATTCTTAATCAATGGTTTGATTAAGACAATAAATTTCCTGGTGTATACAAGTGATTTGGTATAGTAATAGTAACGTTAATATTTGAAAGGAAGTGAAAGTGAATTTTAAAGTATAATTGCAACGGTGTTGTCCCATGAATTTTTAATCATTTTGTGTTCGGCTCCTAATTTTTTCTAATTG